TATCTTATTGTCAAGTAAAAAAATCTCAGGATTTACATCAACGTCTATAAACAATAAAATATCAACATACAACACATAATGGTTGGGTAGGAATATGAATATGAGCGTATTTACTTCTCTTTTTAAACATGTTTGTTTAGTTAGTTGGTGGAGTGCGTGTAATATTTTTATGGCAAAAAATGAAATTAATTGTTTGTTTTGATGGCAAGATCACATGAGGTTGATTTGACGGGAAGTTCTCAGGAGTATTATAATAATAATTGCTTTATTTTGAGGACTTTTACTCTTGTTTGGTGCGTTTAGTGCAAAATTAACTTATCTACAAAGTAAAATTTAATTTAATTTAAGAAGAATAATCTAATTAACTTAAAACAATATCGTTGAAAGCAATTTGACTCCTGCTAGTAATTTTTACGTATAAATTTATAAGAAAATTAGAAGTATTAAAATAATTACTCTCAGCGATTCTGAAATAACCTCAAAATTTCTTTATGTTGAAAGTGAAGCCAACGCTAAGTCAAACTTAACATAACCTAACATGAGATGTGTCATGATATCAGATATAATGCGCACTCGGCAAATAAATAGTAATAAAACAGTTACTGAATGTTATTAGAAATGGTATTGACTTTAACATGTCAGATAACAAGTGAAATGCTTGGTAAATATTTATCTAGTACAATATATTATTAACGATATTTAAGTGATAAGCCTTTACCTTTATTGCGAAGTCACATAAGATCCTAGATCAGAAACTTTGGGCGTTTTTGTAGAAATAAATTGTGAACAAGTAATATAAATACGTAACTTGCGCCATCTATGCAATAATAGTCGTGAACCCAAAAAACTGTAATTGAATATTTGCCCGTTTTATGTAGCAAACATGTTTTGTCGATAAATAATGATTATTTGCATTGGTTTTGCTGTAATCGCGATTTTCAAGCATTAAACAACCGTCTGCACTCCACCATGTCTTTGCCAACGCAGTTACGTTTACATTTCCATAACATTAACTCACAATTTAACATGCGAGTGCAGTTGCAGTGTTTGAATTTATGCAAAATAAACTGCAACGCAGTGCAAACACGACGCACATGGTCATATCGTTTACTAACTGTTTTGCACATACTTGTTTTTGCATATACGAGTACGAGTAACACAAATGTGATTAGTAAAAACACTGACCGAAGTTGTTTGAAGAGATGTTGTAGTTGGGTTGGTGTTTTGAGTGATTTGCGGATTGGGCACGTTGCGAAACAAGACTAAACAAAAACTAATTACGCTTGAAAATGCAAATTAATTTTAAACGGTGACAAGTGCACTTTGTGTTCGAGTATAGATCTAACATTTAACTGAAGGTCAGATATTTAAATTTTAAATATATAGGAGTACCTACAAGTGAAATCACAATAAGAAAGTCAAATTTGTCAATATTTACATAACAACAAAGGATAATTATTTTTATTTGTACAGAGATCATCAGGAAAAAATTATGATTGCTTATAATACACTTTAGCACCATCTCAGCTTCAATTATTTATCTATAAGTATGATTGAATGTCTATATTAATTTTCGTTTCTTATTTAACACCCTGTAAATTATAATTTATGATATTTTAATAGTTATTCTTCTATTTGAGATGAAGACAAATCCAACAAATCATAGATCATCAAAATCTGTCCAACCGTTCTTGAGTTATAAAAGATGTAACTAACGTATTTTTATTATATGTATAAGAATCTATATATTCTTCAAATAATTTTGAAAAATATATCAAATACATCTAAAAAAGGAATTCTTGAAACAAAAATTTAATCTTTTTATCTTTTAGCTTGCGAATTAAAACAATTTCCAGTGGAAAACTGAATAATGAAATTACTTAACAAGAAAAGTGAAATTTCTATAATTATATCGAGTATAAGTATACTGATGAAAATAATTGAAAAAAATAAACCAACTTGCAAAAATAATAACAATTTGATGCTTGACGAGTTGTTTGATGAGATACAGTAAGCAGTGTGTGAGCTAATGAACACCTGAGTCGAAGATGCATTGGCAATTACGAGGCAATTAATTGCCATCATTTGAATGCGAATGAAATTAAATTTTCCAATTGCGAAATTGCTCGCTACCTTGCCAGTTATTAGTAGTTACGAGCAACGAGGAGATTGCTCCATACTTTTACTTCAAGGTAAACCACAAACATCGGTAATCGTTCGGTGAGCTAATTGTTCCTTCTATTATTGCTCATTAAATCATCAAAACGGAAAATTATCAAACACACATTATGAAAACGTATATGAAAGAAAAGACGAGGTAATTTGATAGAGAAAATGATAAATTAATTATTGAATGTGTAAAAAAGTAATTTTTTCAGTTTACTAGGGTTTAAAACAGTGCATTGTGATTTTTTAATATACCTGTATGTATAAACCAAAGGGATATTAGTTACAGCTTTTATAACTCAAGAACGACTGGACAGATTGTAATGATTTATGACTTGTTAGATTCGTCTTGGCCTCGAATAGAAGAATAACTATTGAAAAATCAAAAATTGTAACTTAAAGGGTGTTAAATAAGGGATGAAAATTAGTATAGAGATTCAATCATAGTTATAGTTAAATAATAGAATCCAAGATGGCGCTGAAGGGTATTATTAGCGTTTCTCATTTTTTTAGAATTAAATTTTGAATCTTTACTAAATTTCTACGAATCTTAACGAATTTTTATGAAAAACAACGAGGACGAGTCAAGGCCAAAGACCAGTAAGTTCACAAAATGCGAACGTTGCTATATTTTTACGCACTAGTGAGTAAAAGTAAAATATAACCTCAAACTTGACGTATATCTACCCAGATTGCTATTATTTCATAAGATTTTGAAATATCTTTACAAAAATCAATGAATCATCTTTGTTTGAACCATATAATTGAAGAGATTTTCACGTTGGCGTCGATAATATCTATTGTCTCCAAAATATCAGCTTGTATATACTCGTATCTTGTTAGTTAGCTGGTAATATTAACAGTTGACCGCAAATTACGCTGTTGTCTTAACGGTAGAATCAACTTTACAGCGTTCGAATTTTTCGTTGTCAAAGTACCCAGAACTTTTCAATTTACAGTACTCGTACATATTTACGCATTAAATAAAATATTTACATCCTAAAAACGTTAAAATTACAGTTTTTGTATCGGGAACCCTGATAACTCTAGAAAAAAAGTAGGTAATAAATTTAATTTTAGCATGAAATTAAAGATAATAGAATAGACACTAGAAAAACAAGATTAATAATCAAGAAATAACAGGAATTTTCACATTTTCGAATGACTATTTGTAATTTTTGATGTCTAAGCAAGAATTAGTTGCTTATTTGTATTTTTAACTTCCTTTTTTCACTTTTTTGCATAACCAAACAAATTCTATGTTAAAAATATGTAACAATTTAAGCACACACCGGACATTCTTATGCGGTTGGTTTCATATCAAATATTTAGGTCAGGTTTGCGCGAAAAATAGCAAGTAACAAAAAATTAGTATTGATATGTGAAAGAAATTGTTGACGTCAACTACAATTATCACTTTACACTCACTTTTACCACTAGATCAACAAAAAAAACTTAACACGGAACTTTTTCGTTCGTCTGTCTAAAGCATAATAAATAGTGAAGTCATCACTCAGAAAAAATCGAAACTAATGCTACAAATGCAAATTGGAGGGTTTTGTATGTTTGTGACGCTTTGGAGCAAAAACCACTGAACCAATTTTGATAAAATTTAGTATAGAGATATTTATGATTAAGGAAAATAACATAGACTAGTTTTTGTCGCAAAAAAATAATCAAAATGACGTAAAATGAAGGAATAATGTTGGCATGAAGATCCAAGTTGCATAATTCAAAGCGATATGGCGCTAAATTCAATTATTCCATATTCTATTAAATAAATTAAACCAGGAACATAAAAATATAACCACAATGAAAACTGGAAGAACATTTGGCAATTTTTTGTTTTCATTCAAATCGAATGCGCATTTGACCATTGAATCCATTGCATGCGTGTTTGAAAAAAGCATTTCAATTCAAATGATAAACGGTGACCGCGCACACGCGATAACAATTCGATAATGCGCGAACACAATGTGCGTTTGGTCGATTTGCGTAGCGCGCATGCATGTTTCATTGAGCAATTGTTGATTAAATTACTCACACAGCCAACAATCCACTCAAGCAAGAACAAAAACTTCGGGTTTGTTATGAACTTTCAAACAATACGAGAACAATAGCCAAAAATCAAAAACAAACCAATGCGTTAATAAAAACAACATTTAACTATTTTACGTTCGAATTTCTAATTATTTCCGTGAAATATATGAAAAAGTACGCAGGCAACTCATTTACTAATTTAAATTCACGTCGTATGATGTGTTGCCTATATTATAAAACCGAAAAATTTATAAAAACGTGAATAAAACGTAGTATTCAACTCTCAACTAAAATAAATTAAAACTCAAAGTGACTTAACGCATGTAATTTTTAATTTATGCTAAATATTCGACAAATTTAGTTAAATATACTCCAAAGTCGTAAAATCCAACATTAGAAAGTGTTTAAATATTTACACATTAATACAAAATTTACCAGTGACTTAAGTACGATCAACATCGAGTTAATTTTGTAAATTTCTGCTTGTTTACGCATTTTGTGATGCAACAACTAAAACATCCAAGATTATTTCATCTTACATTTTATGATGTTGAACATTCCGAGTTATTTAATGCCAATTTAAACGACTTGTTAAATTATTAACAAACAGGAAGTTCAATACATACTTCCTTGATCCTCGATAGAAATGAATGCAAATGGAAGATTAGTTTAACATTTTGCATTAATTACGATAATTTCATTAATTATTTACTTGACATTTCATTTTAAGCAGAAAACAAAATTATTTATTATTAAATTAACATAAACAATCAAAAAAATAAATTTTCACTTACCAAATGTAATAATATCTCCAATAATCCAATAACAATGTTTGTTCAACAACAATTACACTAAATTTACTTAAATCTGCACTGAATTCACTTAAGTCAAGTCTAAAAATCTTGATTTTTGCTTATCAAATGTCAATAAACATTTGTTTGACCATGTGACCACCGAAAAACCATACGTGAATGTTTAAACAAATACCACGCGAGGTTGGCAGTGTCGCCGTCGCCGACGTAACAACATCGATGGCTCGCGATGGCAGCAAGTAGGACGCCGATCGTGACGAAACATCATCGACGAATATTCACCGCACAACCAACAACGACGTGCGCCAATCGAATGCAACGCGTTCATCACAACATCACAATCATCGTACTACGCCAACAACACACCACTTGATTAAACACTGCAATCACACCGGGCGCGCAGATTCGCGATGATAACCACAGAAACAATGAATAGGGGAATGCCAAGCATTAATTCGAATGGTACTTAAGTCACGTTAGTTACACGCTTGATTTAACGTCTTATAAATTGTGACCTTGTATTGTATTCAGCGGTTTTGTCGATTTTTGCGCAAAGTAAAGCGCTTAAGTTTTGAGTTGAGTCAAGCGAACAGCGGCGATAACGCGCTGCCTTCGGCCGACCGAACACGACTGAGCGCGAGGCGCGCGGTTTGCTGACGCGAGCCGAGTGGTAACACGCATGAGAATGCGGCTGAAGTCAGTTAGATCGCTTTGCGGCCAGTGTGCAAGAATTTAAATCTCAACAGGTTGTATTTGTACGCATGCGCAATAAAAAACACAAAATCAATACTGGCATTATATTACATCACCATGACAACCATTGAAAACAAAACACAAACAAACACATTTTAGTTCATTTTCAGCGCTGAAAATGAGTAGAAGGTAATTTTATTTTAACCAAAACTTAATAAACCTTTTAATTTAATTATTTTGATGTTTTTTAGTGAATTAAGTGTTGCAAGATGGCTGGATGCTCATTCCGATCACTCTGCAGGACTTGCAACTCTTCCACAAGGCGCAATCCTGGCTGATATCGCTGGTGATGGTGAACATCGCCTTGCATTACTCGATATTAAACTGGGGAAAGATTCAAGGTCACGTTTGAAGGTTTATAAAGGTACTCTTTTGACAGCGGACCAAACTCTACCGGATGTACCCAGTGGAATCATCAGTTTCTATACAGATCCTAGTGATAATAAATATCCAGGTATTAATTTTTTTTGTTTTTAATTTTTTTTTAATAAAAATTTATTTTTAGCTGTGGGTATTGCTTGTGGTTTGGATTTGTTAATCTACAAAAACAACAAACCGTTTTTCAAGTTTGTGGTGCCAAGTTTACCGATTTCGCCATTGGAGGTAGACATTTGGTCAAAACTACCTGATCATGTCAACCAGACTGTTGGTAAATTAGTAGACAACTTGAAAGCTGTGCCTTATAATACACTAACGCCAAGGTCACAGTTATTGGTGAATTTACCTCCGGAACAATATCCGGAGTTTATACAGAATTTTAAGAATTTGCCATTGAAGAGACAGTCGCCTATTACTTGTGTCGCTGTTTTACAACGGTCTAGTCATGAATTAACTACGCCTGGGTGTCCGATTGTTGCTACTGAAGCAGGACATGTTTATTTTTTGGATCCTGTAAATTTTCAAATTTTACATCAGGTAAATATAAGTATTTTGAGGATAAAATGTAGATATATCCTTAAAATGATGTTTCTTATCATTTATTTATGTTTTTGAGGTTAAAATGTTGGTATGACCTTAAAATTTTGATTTTTTTATAATTTTGAGGTTAAATTGTTTAATTTGATGTTTTAGGCGAGTGTTTGTAGTACAAAAGCATCTCCATGTATAATGCGTACAGTTGGTTTTTTTGACGTGGAATTTCGTTTGATTATTGCAACTAGGGAAGGTCACGTGACTCTGTTAAGACGGGGATATTTAGAGGGGAAGGTCCTGATGCATACAGTCAAAGATATTATTGATATGCAGATTGTCCCAGGGGATAATTTTATTCTACTTGCTACTTCTGATCAAGTTTTGACGTGCTACACTAAACGGGTAACATAATTATTTAATATTTTATAATCTATTTGTTGATTATTAATATTATTAATTATTTCATTTGTAGGGTAATAAATTGTGGTCTTTGGAGATGAAGAAACCAATAACTTGTTTGTGTTTAATTCCGTTGAAACATCTAAGCACTTCGTTGGTGGCAGTGGGTATGAAAGATGGCGCTGTGCAAATATACAAAGGACGCCATTTGGTTGATCACTTCAGTGCGGCTGACACGCCATCTGTGATTATTTTTGGGCGTATGGGGCAAGAGGAACATGTTTTAGTCATTATAACAATCAGTAATTTATAACAACATTGGTAAATTAATATTTATTATTGATTATGAGTTTTGTTTAGGTGGAATATTGAATTTGAAAATTCTCAAACGCACGGCAGATTTTAACCTGAACAAACAAGATGCTAGTTTGCCATTGATGCAGAATAAACCACTGCCGTTACCCAAAAGATCTAAATTGTTTTTGGAACAGAGTGCTAGGGAAAGACAAAATGCAGTTGGTAAATAATTAATTTTTATAATCCATTTTTGGATTGTTAAAATATTAATATAAATTTTATTGTTTAGAAATGCATCGCAATTTCCAGCAAGATTTAATTCGTCTGAGATTGAATGCTGCGAGGGCAATGGCCCATTCCCTCTCGGATTCTACAGGAATGGGTAATGAGAAAGAAATGGTCAAGGTTTCAGCGCAGGTTTTAGGTCTCGGACCAAATTTTACGCTGGTTTTGAACTTGGAGAATATGAACTCTAATAAACCTCTGCTGGATTTATCGATTGTGTTTCATGTCAGGCCTGATTTATATAAATTGTCGGATTATTTGATTCCAGTAAGTCTATGATATCATTTTTCAATTTAATTAATATTATTTTATTGGATATTAATTATATAATTTATAGTTGCCATTAATTCCTCCTGGATTAACATTTCGAGTGGAAACAAAAGTGGAAGAATTGCAACCTGAAATGGACGCCAATGATAATACGAATGTGCAATTGGAGAAGGACGGTCAAAGTTTACAGCATGTCAAAGTATTTTGTGTCCGTAAGGATCAAATTGCGCCTATTATTGCTGCGACTATTAATATGCCACCTACAGATATTACTATACCTGTTTTGTAATTATCTAGATATCTCATGTATCTATAACTGCAAATTACAAGAGGACGCAATAATGCATTATTTATAGGGCAATAATAATAAATATATAACTATAACCAGGATTGAATATTCGTACCAAGTGTCATCCCTTACTACATATACCTACTCTTCAAGGTATAATTTTGCGACCAAATCTGTATCAAAATTTAACAACACGAGGTCCATGGTTTTTCTATGTATGCGTGTCACATGAACAAACAAACACATTTGATTTGCCCCCCCCACATTTTGCGGGTTGTAAATAGCAGCCAACAAGCACCACAGTGCTTAGTCAGTGATTGATTGGTGAAACAAAACAGTTTCTCTCTTTCTCTCCCTATTTGTTACTACTGTTCTGTTCTGTGAGCAGAGACCTCACAGTAGGCGTGACTATTAGGTACATGCACGGTACATGAATTAATATATGACATTTGTATCAATGTCAAATATATCATTACATAATTTTAATTTTAATTATCAATAAAAATATAATGGAACCGAGAAAACCTGAGAAACCTACAATACCAATAATCCCACATTCCTCTATAAATTACAACCAAGATGCCTCCTCGCTCCTTAGGGAAGTATTCCACGATGTGTTGGAAGAACCAGTGCTTCCCGACAACATCGTGCGAAACTGGGCGAATTACGAAATCGATTCAACCAGAGACAAGGCAACAGCAAAATGTATTCAATCAGTATGTTTATAAAAGCGTTTATTTAATGTTTTTCTACCAAATTTTTTTAATTATTATTGTAGATAAAAGAAAAATCTAAATTAGAAATGGAAGCTTTACACATCGTCGAGGAGAAACTCGCGCATAACATAAAAACTAATTTAGAAAAACAAAAACTAATTTTAAAAGATCCTATAGCGAAAGAATTTAACAAATATAAGCGTGATATAATTTTCCCCAAAATAGATCGAGAAGATGTTAAAGACTACGGTCTAATTACAGGAGAAGATTTAAAACCTTCTAGAATACTACAAAAACTTGGTTAGAAAACTAAACATAACCTAAAAACAAACACATAATCTACAATTATAAATTTTATACTAAAAACTTATAATCTAAACATTTTAGACTTTACTTTCGAAACGAAAATCCCCAAACTAAAACGTAAAGACCCAAACATGGTCCCTACCAAATTACCAAACATAAAACCAGGAGGAAAAGCAACACTCGGCACCAAAAACCTTCCTGGAAGAACAAAATCAAGAGTAACCCTATTAGCACCAAGTGAAGTCAGCAGCAATGCACTTCAAACCAAGAAAACTCTAAATCCCCACGGTTCACGTTCATCTCCCAAATTAATGTCACCTGAATCCAGACTCAGATTAATCCGCAGTTGCTTCCGTCTTAATACAAAAGAAGTAGTCTTCACCAACTACAAACTAAATGTAGTTTATAAGAAATGTTTCAAACTACAAAATATCAGCACTAAAGTACAACAAATAACAGTACCTGATACCACTGAGTACAAAAATGGCTGCTTCACTGTCAAACCACAATTTGATCCGGATACACTACGGTTGAGTTCTGGAATGAGTGCGAAATTCATCGTCGAATTCAAAACAGATACCTACATGGATGTATTCGATTATTTTCTTGTAAATGGACATAAAGGTAAACATTTTTACTAATTCTTCCTTTAGAAACATAACAGGACCTTTAAATTTGTAGTAAAACTATTAAGTCAACGTGAACCTCCAAAACTCACAGCTTTCCTCATGAGGGACACAATATCAATGACACGTGTCTCCCATCCTCGTTTTGAAATGACACGAGCTGAAGCCCTGAATAACACAATCGAATGTGGCGCGTGTTTTGTCGGAGAAAGACTTAATTGTAATCTGATATTTAAAAACATAGGTGGGCCAGGGAAGTTTTTCATGATGACTGAGATGCAATGGTCCACACAAGATATAAATGTATGTTTAGTCGCCATCTTTAAATTTAAAAAAAAAAATTATAGGTTAACTTGTTTTACTCGTAGACTTTACATAATAACCTCCAATTGGATTTCGGAGACTTTTCCATAACACCCAATTACTTTGAAATGGAGAAAGATGATTTCATCATAACAAAGTTAGAATTTTACGGAGCTGAAAGCAGTACGAATATAGAAAACATAAGCATGGTCTGCGATAACATAACCTGGGAATCCATTGATTTCGTCGCTGATGTGATTGAATTTGATAAATATACAATCACAGTTGATCGCTCTAATGTAACACTATATAAATCCAACATAACCTAATGCATAACCTAATTTAACCTCTATTTCCTTTAGATTTTAAAAATCACTACATTTATACACGAAGTAGTACAAATGCATCAATGCACTGATGAATACCTCGATTGGGATCTGTCAAACACCTCCAGCAATAACAATAGCAGTGTGGAGCCTTCTGTGTGTGTACATTTGGTGGAACCAGACAATAACCATGTGAAAAATATCAGTACAGACGTGGCACTTCATACTTCATCAGTAGATATCATCGATGAGGTTATTTTTGATTATCTGATTTCAATAGATAATGATCCACTCACATCCGGTAGCAGTGCCTCTGAAGAAGACATAAAATGTAGATCTTCAGGAGTTTTGTTCATTGGAAAGACTCTTGCCTATAAGAAAATAAAACAGAATATCAAAATTAGAAATAATAGCCAGATACATCTAAAATATAGATTTGATTTGCATGAAATCAATTTGGAGAATTACAAGCATCCTATGTTGAAGGGAATGCAAGAATTGCAGTTTGATTGTGTGGGGTTTGAAGGTGATGAGGATAATATCCTGCCTGCTTATGGGGAGGTCACTTGTAATATTACAGCATGTCCTGAAACAACTGAAGAAGGGTTTTATGGTGTTACCATTGGGTAAATACACAAATTATTAAAATAATACTAAAATAATAGCTTAAATATTATTAATAGTTTTGTCATTGTGGGTATACCTCTGTGTGCTGTCAAATTATCCCCTGACAACCCAAATTTCCTCATTCTACAACCTCAAGACTCAGAATCTACAAGTGAAAGTAATGCCACTCCTGTTGTTGATGTCCAAGTGGCGCTGTTCGATGCGATATGTTTCGTAAGAGGTTTACGAATTCTTGTCATGCCTAGAAATGTGTTTGGTTCACATCCTCATCATTATGGTGCCAAAGTGAAACGGGAATTCAAACTCAATGTGGACTGTGATCAATTTGATGAGATTATAACAGGATATTGGATTAGTAATCAATGGGGGAAAGTGATGATATATCCAAAATCGTTTAAAATCAAACCTAGGAGGCCTTTTATTTTTGATGTGGAATATGATGTTACCACTTATAAAAGTACCGTGGAACGTATTTGGTAAGATATTTAAAACTAGGTTATGTTTTTCTATTAATTATAATGATTAATTTTAGTGTTGTAATAGAAAAGCATTACACAAGATCAATTGATCTGAAGATTGAAGTGGAACCACCACATTTAAAGTTTAATAAAACAATTCCCTTACAAATGGGTCTATGTACAGTCGGAAACACTTATAAAACATCTTTTAAAATCCTAAACTCTAATTTTGTTAATGTGGATTGGGAGATTAGAGAGCAATACATACGAGATTTGCATCGACCGAAAATGAACGGGGTTCAGATACAAGCTAAGAACTTAGGTTGTGGTGATGTTGACGTAACCTACGAAATAGTTGCTCGAGTAAGTTATACCAAACTTTTCACATTATACATATCAATGTAGTTTTCCCGTTAAACACATTCATAGGCTCCTATTAGATGGACATCATACCTGCTCCTATGCACAATCTATGACGGTAAAAAGAAAGAAGATTGTCGCTTACAAATCAATTATGAAGTTGCCGATGTAGCTGCTTGTATACATACAGATTTCTCGGAATGTCCTATTCTCTCTCCACCAGAGATGCTTTATGTAAACACCCCGAAAACTTACTCTGTTTGCTTTCATAATTTGACACAAGTTGATGTTGTCTTTGAACTTTCTGAAATTTATGGAAAACATGCTGATTTATTAGATATTTCTGTATCCCCGAAAAGATTCACAATCCAAAATGGAATCGCTCATAGAATTGATGTTACAATCACACCTGTAAAAGCAGGAATGTACGATGATATCTTCCTTGCTTTTAATCAAGTGGAAATGTCTGAAAACAGAATTGGAGACTATTGCGCGCCTGCACCAGTAGTGCTCTCTGTAGTAGTTGCTGTTGATGATATATATGTCAAAGTGGTGTTACCAGGAGTACAAAATGAAGTATTCTGGCCTCCTAGGGTTGAACGTCTATCTATAAATTATGAATCAAATCAAAATCTAGCTTTAGCTATCACAGAAGAAGTTTCCCCAGAGACTTTTAATGATGCTAGTAAAATGGAAGCTGAGTTGACCATGAGTAGTACTGACTTGAATGATGACTTACCATCAGATCTCGTTAAATATCTCAAAGAGTTGGCTCCGTCTACTGTTGAAGATGAATCGTCAATCATGTCTTCTTTTAGTAGTGATACAACTGTTTCAGAAACATCTTGTAGTAGGTTTAATCCTTATGGGTTTGAAGATGTTTCCAAATATGTTGTGGAAATATGTGGAGTACATTTAAAGCAAGTTTATACCTGTAATATTAAACTGGAGAATTTAACTCCGGTGACAGGATGTTTACAAGTTGTAAATTTGAATTTTCCTCCGAATAATTACGAACAGAAAAAGATTGATGTGGTGTTACAAGCATTGAAGTATCAATCAATTGAAGGTAAAATATATTACCATAATAACCAACCTAACCTAGTTTTAACCTAAAAGTTGTTATTTTTTATTTTAATTTAATGTTTAGATGAATGGGAGAAAAGGTTAGATCCCTATGGTATAGCAATTGACCATCGATGTCTTGATGGTACCCAACACTTAAAACCTTTTGGTACCAATGAAATTATCCTTTCAATCTATGCCAACACATGGGGAACATATAAGGAAGACCTCCTAATAGATTTTAACCATATCCTACCTTTGAGAATAACTTTAATCGTTGAAATAATCGGAATACCTTTAGAATTCCCTATTGGAATAAACAATATACATAAAACGGCCATTTTGAGGTTTGGTACCTTAGCATACAAATCAAACTTTCAAATAAGGCAATTACAAGTAAGAAATGTATCAGTGGTGCCTGTCAATGTAATATGGCATATTTACATGCGTCACACTCATGGTGAGTTAGCTAACGAACCAATCACAATCCTTTTTGATGTTTACCATCCCAATGATGATGATACGCATGATGAGGAAACAGCCTCACAAGGGAATTTAATGATAGCGCATGGGAAGTGTATCGGACGCAGTAATCATCGAATATTTAAGGTTATTAACCTCTTTTAGAGTTACCCATTGGTATTAATGTAATATTTTATAATAGATGTCCCCAAAAGAAATGGTAATCCCACCAAAACAAACCCTGGCATTGAAACTAGGTTTAAACACTCGTGCATTCGCAGCTTCCTACAATACAACTGAAATTGAAGCATATCTCATTGGATACACTCACTTACCACAAAATTTGAGTTATTCTCCATTGTTGTATAGACGTCCCACAGGTCATGCCAATGATCCAACCAAAGCTAAACTCACCGCAACTCTTGATCTCCCCGTTCTTAAGTTGGATATGTGTGTAGAAGACCTCCATTTTGGTTTCTTTGCGGATCAAATCTTGGATTCTGGATATATCAAACAAGTACGGCAGTTAACTTTGAAAAATCATCATCAAGTCGAAGCTGAAGTCTGTTTCCAAATGGATCCGCCATTTGTATTAGAAAGTGCACGTACATCAACAAAACTTACCCATTTAAAAACATCCGAGAAAGATAGTCCGAGATATTCAGCTGTAGTTCAACCAGATGAATGTGTACAACTCGCGTTGAGTTATACAATCGATGTGGAGACACTCTTTCGCATCGCAAAGCAACTTTTTGATGATTCCGACGATGATGAAGGCACTGTGCTATATTCAAAGTTAAATTTGACTGAACAGACTTTCAGTCTTGAACAGTATCTGCACATTGAGCAGGCAGGTTTTATTCGACAGAATATTCCTGTAAGTTTAAAGATATATCTTCCAATATTAGAAGTTACTAATGAGATAGATTTTGGTGATGTATATCTTGGAAATGTGGTGAAACAACTGTGTATCATTCGGAATTATTCATGTAAGTAGCAGTGAATACATAACCTTTTACATTAGAAGGTAATTATGTTAATATTTTGAGGTTATAGTGTGTCGTGTGGAGTTTACTGTACATGAAAGCAAAACTTTTCGTGTGATGACTAAAAACGGGGTGATCAAGCCAGGAAGACGTGATTTTCCGATGGTTTATGATTTATACATTGTTTTCGTTCCTCAGTAAGTACTTTAACCTTATTCAATGAAGGTTTTTTTTTAAATTATTTAAATTGCTAGGATATTATCTAAATTTGAAGAGAAAATTATACTTCGAACACGAATACCCAGTTTGCACTTCACTATAAAAGTATCTGGAGTGGGAAGACAAAATGAACGATATTATATGCCTGATACTTGCTAAATCAGAAAAAATATATACTATTATCATCTATGGTTCTATTTTTGTCTTTTTGAATTTTGCTATAAAGAAACCAATGGAATTATGTTCCATTACATCAGGACCAAAACGTTGTAAATATTCTGAATGTTCAATGCCTTCGTATGGTAATCCATGGCTGCCATGTTTGGGTTCAGCTGGAATCAACTCTAAAGGAAGTTTTTTCAGTGCATACGATACAATTCCTTCATTTTCAGGTACTGCAATCGAACAAGTACTGTAGACTAGAGTTCCACCTGGTCGAAGCATGTCAACAGCCTGTTGTATAACAAAATAACAATCAAATAATTAAAATTAAATATTTTAGGTTATGATGCACTTACTGTACGTATTAAATTCTTCTGCACAGCAACAAAACTTGCTAAAATTACTTCGGAATCAGTATTTAGTAATTGTGGACGATTTCCGGAGGCACTACAAGGTGCATCTAATAAAATAGCGTCAAATTTCTCAACTAAAACATCAGCAATGGATGCGGCCATCTTGTTATTAGTCTTAACCCAATCAACACATTCAATTCTTATGTTTTCTATGTTATACTTTTCGCTAGTGCGTTTTAATTGAAGAATTTTATGTGGTGTTTTATCGCAGGCCATTAAAAAACATTCAGGAGATATTTTAGCAGATATATGAACAGTTTTACCACCAGGAGAAGCGCACATATCTAAAATTCTAGAATGTTTTTCCACGTTAAGACATTCTACAGCAACAATCGATGGCAGATTTTGTAACATAGCACCATGATGATGCAAAACATTGTGATCCAAAGGTGGACAACCACTGATTGTATCAGTTATCTCGATTGCTATACCGCTAAAGAAAAAATAAAGAAATAAAAACATATTTTGAGGTTAAATATATCATGACATACGTTTCAATAGGCTCTAAACAAAACAAATCTGAGCGTGTGAGTTTTACGCGTCCATTTGCAATAAAATGTTTGTACTCAGAGTCAAATACCTTTGCAAAACCTTTTTTACACTTGTTGGTAGGACTTGTATCGACGTAGACTGATACTTTATCGTCAATGTTACAATCTAACACAAAAAATAAATAAAATTGCCTTACCTAACCTAAAAATGTATTTTTCAAAATGGCGTACTTTTAGTCATGCCAATTACACCAGGGGCAAATATATGTGCACCTCTAAGGACTGCAGCAGCACATTTATGGTCAATTACAACTTCTTTGGAAACTTTCTCCAAATCTAAATATTTTTCATCAAGGTGTTCAATAACAAGCATATCAAGTGTAGAATGCTTGTAAATTTTGGGCATCGGTATATTTCTCTGTGAATTAATCTAAAGAACATGTCTAACAATAAATATTAATGTTTTTAACTTGATTTAGTATCAATAATAATAATTACCTGGTGTAATTGTTCATTAATCACGTTTTCTATGCTTGGTTTTGTTGAATCAATTCGAATTGTAGTCATATTTGGTGTTTGACACAACCACTTCTTTAATTTTTTCAAAAACTCGTTCTTTGTAAATAAAAAGATTAATAAATATTGTAATACAACTAAACAATTAATTACAAACCTTGTTTTGTAATGTACATGATAAAGGAATAAGAATATCATCGTTAAAATCATCAGTAAATGGTGATTCAGGATACGGCATTTCAGTTGTTTTCATAAACAACTTTTGTTTTGAATTAAAAGTAAAGCAAAGTCGCGAACAAAGTTCAAATTTGCAGGTTAGGCGTGATGAAGCATGTCAATGTACGTAAAAGATATCAACGAACTCGCAGTAGACGTAACAAAGAGAAATTTATACGCAATTTAATGTTGAGGAGTGAAAGGTTATCTTCCACGTTTGCTTATAACATTGCTTCCATTTGATTTCATATTTCGTTTCGCTTCGTGCAAGTTCGGGCCTCCCACTTAAAGTAACGGCGATTGATTAAACGGCCACAGCGCTGCCAACATTACAAACCAGAAAACTGCATAAATTATTTTATTTGCGTTTTATTAAAATCCCAAAGAGATTAATATATTTGATGTTATTTTTTAGTTATATAAATTAAATTAAAGATGTTTGACTTAGTTTGGTTGGTTTTAAATAGTTTTTACGGAGTTTTGTTACAATAAAATTGAAATACGGTTGGTGTGCATGTATGTCACGTGTGCGCCCTCCCACCAATGAAACGCGTCGCCGACCGAGACGTGGCACGGAGTGTGGCACGAAGTACGAATCCGCCGCACCGCCGCCATATTGACGTCCGCCGAGAATCGGGAGGTTCGCTGAATGTGAGCAGCGCTGCACCTGTGTGGAAGAGCGCGGATTTTTTATTGCGAAAAACGTGAGTATTCACCGCCGACCGTCATCGACTCTCGCAGTCATCCCCCGAGTGTTTACTTTCGTCGGTATCCGAGTCATCCATCGACGGCCATCCGCCCGGAGAAAAGAGTGTTTGTGTGTGCGGGCGGTGGAGAGAAAAAAAACGCCAAACGCCAAAGGGAGTTGGCAGCGGCGGTTGACACGCTGCAAGTATTGCGTTATTCAGTACTCAGCACATCGATAACGCGCATTTCATTTCGTTTACTTTGTGTGCGACTACGTGTAAGCATTTAACGTGTTAACGAAAAAAAATGCGAACAATGATTGCACTTGTGCATGTTTTATTGCCGCAGCGCCGAGTCATCAGTGTGTGATGTGTGCGATTTCTGTTGCAGGTTACATTTTAAGTGAGCCACCATGGGGAACATGTTTACAAACTTATTTAAGGGCCTATTCGGCAAGAAAGAGATGAGAATACTGATGGTTGGTTTGGATGCTGCTGGTAAAACTACGATTTTATACAAACTTAAACTAGGTGAAATTGTAACCACTATTCCTACTATTGGTGAGTACACTTTGCATCATGCTCTAATTCCCTGCTAATTATTATTACTTCTTGTTGCAAATCATACCCACCATTTTGTTTTTTTGGTGGTTTGTGTTGTATTGGTAATTATTCCATGCTGGCATCTTTTTATAATTGATGAGTCATCAGGCAAATGACAGCAAGTGCCCTCAGCTTGCACATTATTTCAACATTTGTGACAAGAAGTAATCATGATCCATAATGCAAAGCAAATGAAACTTGTTTTTCCTTTGTTTGCCTGTTGGGTTGTGTTTTGTTTGCGGTTTGATCATGAGTTGAGTGTTTTCTTGTTGTGTTTTTCCAGGATTTAATGTTGAAACTGTAGAATATAAGAACATAAGCTTTACCGTCTGGGATGTCGGCGGTCAGGACAAAATTAGGCCGTTATGGAGACATTACTTCCAGAACACACAGGTATGTGTTTCAGTATCATCAGAACTCATAAAAACATCTGTTTTAAGCATTTTTATGCTTATTCAGCTCTGCTATGAACACATTTGTACACATCTTGAATATTTCAAGTAATATTTGTGAATAATCAACTAATAATTAGGAAAATACTCAAAAGATGCAGCAATATGATTAGTAAAGTCTAGAATCTTCATCAGAATGTTATTCTTTTAGATAAATTATTTAATTTTAAGCCCTTAATGAATAATTGACTGATATCCAACTAAATATTGTTTTTTTATTCTTTACAACAGGGCTGGCCAATCCCAGGCCCGCGGGCCACAAAGTGGCCCGCCAGGGTATTTGAATTTGCCCGCCGCAAAAACCAAAGTTGTAACTTTTGTATGTGTATAATATTTTATGTATGAATGGCCATAGTCTGTGGCCCGGTGCCGCCGCAATCTAAAAGATTTGGCCCTCCAGGAAAATCCATTGGCCAGCCTTGCTTTACAACAATATTTATACGATGAATCAAGTTACGGGTCTTTAATTTGCAATTTTAGATAAAAAACTAATCAGAATTTATTAAAATTTCAATTTATTCTTTAAATATGTTTTAATTTAGATTGCTGATATAAAGTTTGGTTGATTTATTCACTTTGGTTTACTTTTTCTGCTTATAAACCGAAAATTTTGTGTGGAACTTTACTTTTTTCAATTTCCTTCAGAATAATGAAAAATAACTTTCAATATGGAAGCAAAATAATTGATATTATTTAATTAACTCTCTAATTACAGTGTTTGATTACATAATTCAATGTTTGCTTTTTTCTTTAAAAAAAATAGAAATACTTGCTTAAGAAATAATTAATTACTTGTTAAATTAACCATATTTGATTCATTGACCTGTATTTAGTTGATGTAATGACTAAAAATATATTTAAGGTGTGTACAAATGTTAAATAACATTTTATAATTAATCACACTTCAAGAAATAATTAATTTCAATGTATTTTTATTTTAAAATAATTTAGGGATTAATCTTCGTGGTGGACAGCAACGATAGGGAGCGAATCGGCGAGGCGAAAGATGAACTGATGCGTATGCTCGCCGAAGATGAGCTGCGAGATGCAGTGCTGCTCATCTTCGCCAACAAGCAGGACCTGCCGAACGCAATGAACGCCGCCGAGATCACCGACAAGCTGGGCCTGCACTCGCTGCGGAATCGCAACTGGTACATTCAGGCCACGTGCGCGACGAGCGGCGACGGCCTCTACGAGGGCCTCGACTGGCTCTCCAACCAGCTGAAGAACGCCAACCGTTAAGTGCAAGTGATTTCTAATCTAAATACCACACATGCTCCCCCAATTCCTATCTTGACTCCTCCAGTCTCTCCTCTATCTTGACCATCAAGTACTACCCACCCGATCCGCCACCCCTCAATTTATATATTTACTATTACATTATTATTATATCACACACACACATACTACACGCAGAAACATGCGACGAGAAAAACAACCCTCCTCTCTCTCTCTCCTTTTCGGTTATCTATTGGTACGGTGACGAAGTCAACACCATTCCGAGATTAACCGCCAACACACAAATGGATTTAGCCGATGGACAGAAACTTAAAACATCAAGAAACAATATTTGGTTTTCTGGCATCAACGAGTGTCATTCTTGCATCAGACAACATTGTATAATTATATACGTTTAAATAATTATACTATTAATTATAAATGAAAATTACACCTAATGTAAATTAATGTATAACGGTTCTTCTAATTTGTTTGTTCTTTGTGCTGTTTTTTTTTGATTTTGAAATTGTTTGTAACGCGCATATGCCTTTTCGATACACACACGCATAATATTGTATTATTTATATATATATTTGAAGATGATTTAACGAAGCGAAGGGAAACGTAGCGAGAAAAAAAACGAGATTCAATTGATAAATACATTTTTAGTTGTACAAGAAGATTTGCAAACACATGACACACCAATCACAACTTATAACCCAATGCATTGTAGTTTGAGGTTATAATGTTTAACATGTGGCGCCATCTGTTGGGGGGAGGGGCTTGTGTGGCGTGCGTTGGCATTCAACGAAGGCGATGTTTGTCTCATTGTTAAATATTACAAGCGGAAAACAAGCAACAACACACAGCATACTTACAAACCGAAAAACGGAAAACATTGAATTTGTAGCATATGGTATATATGTACGTGCGTAACATGCATTATTTTCTTTTTTTTGTTTTTTGATAATTTGATCCACTTCACTTCAATTCGGTTTTGCGTCAGTTTGATGAGGAGTCGTGGTGGCTGATGATATTTTTTTTTGTATTTGGACATGAAACTACTTGAGTAACTTTTTGATCGATCGATGGAAGTATTTATAATGCAATTTTATTTAAAAAGCGATGTTGGCGTGCAGCGTGCGATGCGAGAGGCAACATCTTGGATTATCTTATTTTTCATAGACTAATAGATAAGTTCTTTATTATGATTTTTTGTTTATATAAGTAATGTATAAGTAAAGTTTCAAAGAAAAGGAAAAACAATGGTTTATAAAGTTTAGGCTTTCGATGAAATGAAATTTGAAGCGAGCGCATATGTAATTTGATCACATTCCCTCTTTTTACTTAAAGAAAAAAAACGAAAGATAAACTAAAAATAAATACTGAATTAATGAATGGATATATTGAGACAAAAAATATGTAATAAATGAATTTGTGAAAGTTTTTTTTTCGTTCGTGGTGCAATATTCGCAATTAAAAATGAAATCAAGTGAAATGTTTAATTTAAGTTTAACGCTCATTGTTGAAAATCTATTTTTAACAGCCTGCATTATAATTTGATGTAAAATAATCATAAGTAACAATAATTTGTGTTTTAGAAGGAAAAAACGCAAAAGGAAGCACACTCTGTGCTAGGCCCCGGGGAGATTCGAACTCCCGATCTCCTGTTTACTAGACAGGCGCTTTAACCAACTAAGCCACGGCGCCGGTTATGCATCGTACGTCATCGTTTGCAATACGATTGTTAGTTACACGTTGATGGCAGCACTGTGCTCACTTTACTTTTTTTGCATTTGATTTGTTTACACTCATTCTTAATCTACTTTTTTCGTGTTTTTGTTAGTTGTGTTAAATCTGCGCTGTTGTGATGTTGAGCATCTTTAACACCCCGCATGCTGAGCGTCCTCCATATTGGGTGAGTGTATGTGATAAATTACATTATTTCGCGTCGCGAAAATGAAAACGAAGAACGGCGTGAAATCGAAGTGCGCCCACACGCGTCGCCTACACCTTTGCGCGCGCCGGTTTTGCTTCTTTTTGGGGCCGCATTTTACATTTTGTGAATGGCTCGTTATGCATTCAATGAATCAAAGCGCGTTGTGAATGGCGGACGCGCAGACGAGAATGAACTTGCGCGTCCGTGACGGGGCGCTAAGTTTGGGATTTATGTGCAATCATGAATATCATGTCGGCGCAGCGAAGAGGTAGAGAGGCTTAGCCGCGTTATACTACGAAAGGATCGATTTCGAGTCGTCGTAGGACACTTTGGACGGTGTGCGGACGTGCTTGCAAATTGCAATTCGGGATTATTAAGGTCTTGAGATGCAAATCTACAGTATGTCCGTGCATTAAACATATCTCAAAGTGGGTATTTGTATTAAACTGATTTAGACCTGCAAAAGTAATTTACCAATTACTTATTAAGCATGAAGCATGAGGAAAGACTTAAAAATTATTTTTTTACAGTTTTTAAAGAAAAAAAGCGGTAGTTTCAGTACGAACGGCCAAAGTTGTGACAAAAGTACTTTAGCCACTGGTTTTAGTCACGGGGTGGTGCGAAGTTCAAATACAAAACTCTCAACGTGGAAATAAAGTGATAGTAGAAAAAAAAGCTTAAGCATTGCGTCGCTATGTTTTGATAAACGTGGTTAAAGTGCCATTTAGCGCACTTGATACTTTAATAACGAATAACTTAAATATTTATTGACAAAAACAATTTTTTTAATAAAAAATCTAAAAATTATAGAATCTAAATGTTAAAGAATACAAAAACAATGCAAATACACAATTTTTAACTTAAAAAAGTCAATCAATTTGTGTTTCTAGACTAGCTTAATAGAACAACTCGGGCTTAGCACTCGATTAGATAACTTTTTAAATATTTGGATTACTAATCTTCTACAAGTAGATATATTGTAAAAATGAGCAATTCGTCGAAATGGCGATGGAAAAATAGTCGCAAGACATTTATTTATTAGGTCACCTACACCTATACATTTAAGTCACCTTAGCACCCAACTGCGCATAATATTGAAACGATAGCGATTAAAATTCTTGTAGTGTTTTGACTTTGACACTTCCTCATTGTTACAATTTCGATTCGCAGCTGTACACACGCCACGCATACACCGATGCAAATGCGAGTGGTTATCCGCATGCGTGTGTGTTTTGCGATTGTTAGCAACATTTATTTATAAAAATGACATAATCGTAACGCGACGCTGTGATGACTGTTAAATCAATCTGCGCTTTCAAAATGTTTCTAATAATGGGTCGTAAATGGTAGTTATAGCAACATTAAGCCAATAGGAGTCAATAGGTGTTGATTAACTTACGTCAGGCATGTAAGTGAATTTTGAGGTTAGTTTAAGTAACTGTCTTATTAACTAACTGATAAGTACTTGTACATATCGAGTAGATAATAAAGTTAACAGAGATGATGAAATCTGGGAGATTATTGAAAAGAAAATTTTCAATAAATGGAAATTTTAATAATAATAGGATAACCAATAAATTTTTCTATTTTTTTTTATCAATTTTCTGTCGAATTTGTCAATAAGATTCTTAATTTTATTAAGAAATGAGAATATTGTACTTTAGCGCCATCTACATTCGAAATATATAACTAAAACTAAAATAGGCAACCAAAATAACACCCAAAACAGTTTTTTCTTCTTATTTTACAAAAATTTGCTCCCAAAATGTTTTACTTTGATATTTCCATACTTTGTAAGTTTAAAGATTGCGTATTACATCCAAATTTTAATGTTTTACATTTATGGTCTTTATTCCACGCTACGCAACCGCCATCTATCTTAAAATATTCCCAATATTCTTGTAATTTACGCAATAGAAATCACTGACATTTAACAATAAATTAACCACGAATAGCACATAATTAACGACGCGTTAAAGACTCGCTAACTCCATTTACGGCTCGTTATCATTATCACTTATTAGCGCACAGTGCACGCACAACCGCGTAAAGCCTGGCAATAAAATCGTCGGTACACATTCAAACATTTGTTTCAAGCAGTCACATCCATTTCCAACACAACCTTCAATTGTTATGTCATTCTTAAACGTTTAAACGTTTTTCCTCTGCAACAACGTAGATATAATTACATGTGACTTTAGCTGTCAACAACACAAGAGCAAAAAAAAACTGGAAGTAAAAGTTCGCGTGGCTTAATTGATTGCGGATTTAATTTAATAATCACGCTCGCAAATCACACGCACTCATACATCGAGTGATTAACATCGTAATCGTAATCGTAAATGCTGCAACTGCAAGAACCGCGGACGTAGTGCAATAAAAGCGCGATTTATTGGCATTCCATATCTTTTAATGCCTTGTTTAATTAATTGATATTGCTGCAACTCCCGCATTCCAGCTTTTTTGTTGTCGTCGCGCAAAATAACAAACATACGACTATACAACTATGTAAACTGCTTTATTTAACATGTGGCGCCACCAATCGACTAGCCATGCATATTTTATGACAATATAAGTGAACCGGAAGTACGCATGTAACATAACATGCAAATGCATACAAATGTAATGCTAAACTGAGTGCATGTTTAGTTGTTGATGTTATGCAGTGGGTAATTCGAGTAGCTAAACGATTTACATTCGACAAGTCGTAATGGCCGCGAGGTATTTTCTAATAGTCTAATGTGTTGTTTATAAATGCATGCAATACAATGCAATGAATAATTATTATTGTAATATGAGTATGATAGGGTTTTATTAATATTTAATATTCTATTAATAGAGAATATGTTTTATTGTTGTTTTTGTTTTGTTTTTATTATTTATTTTATTGAGGGAGTGCCGATGATGGCGGCTTGTCATGCGTGCAATGGCGCTTGGCGAACTCGGTGGTTTATTAACACACTTATCGATATAATTTATGCGAGTTATTAATGTTTTATTGCCGCCCTCGGTGCTCTGGCGGTCGTAAATCAACCGCCACTCAATGACAATAACAATCATTATACATTTAATTCAAATTGATTTCAATTAAATTTTATAAGTTAAAAATTTATTATTGCTTAGTTCGTGCATAAATTATTAGATGCAGATGGTTATATACTGCGGTAATGGCCGCCAAGTATTAGAATTTCTTGTTTTTGTAAAAAATTGAGGTTATGTGTTGTTAAAACCTCAAATTTGATAGAAAATTTAATGTTTTGTATCAGAAAAAGTCTGTTAAGTTATAATGTTTGTGTAAAAAGCAAAATTTTTGCTGCCCGAGGGCCGTAAACATGTTTTACTTCGCTATTTCCGCCCAAAAACTTAAAAAAACACATTTTAGTCATTTTTAACACTCTGTATTATATTTGAAGAAGAATAATCTTAATATTTCGTAAAAACTTTAATATTTTTATGAGATTATACTTAAACATACTGTATTTTAGTGACATTTTTAAAATTTGTGTTTTTTGATATTCTGGGACAAACAGAAGATAAAAATGTCTAATCGGATTAACTCGGATGCAGTTTGGAAGTTGGGCAATTGTGTAGTCATAATCGCGACTTCTTCGAAGCGCCCGAACAACAATAAATTCGCAAATCGACGCAAAAAGAAAATCGTTTTTTGTGCGGCCGCGGCGACGCGCCGCCGAGACGGATCACGGAGGCGTGTGCGCTGTTGGTTGCCGTGATAATCGCATTATGCACGCCCGAATGAAATTAATGTCTAACGTCTACCCGGCGTCAACAATAACGACTTTTTAGTGCCTACAAGATCGATTATCCTCCACAAGACGCCGGGCATCACGTAGAAATATTATAAGTATCATCAAATTCCTGCGGTGGAAAAATAAAACATAGGCAACCAAAAATACACAGAAAATTTATATAAAAATGATGCATTTATAAAATAGTCAAATAGAAATTAACATCAATTGATCGGTATCTCTGGTATTGAATCGCGCGTACGCGCTTCCACTTTCAATTAATTTAAAATCATTGCTCACATTAATTGCTCAGCGATTACCTCATCGCCGAATATAAAATAATCGCGTGCACGCTGCAAAACTGCTTCATTCATTCGTAGATTGTTTGTGTTTTGTTCACGACGGCTTGAAACACACTGTAGATTTAATAATACCACGCCTTCTCCCGCATGTATCGCCACAATGTTGTAGCAAGTTCGAGTTTATTGCTTAGTTTGAACATTACGATTATTATCGACTTATTGCGATCGCGCAGCGCAGTGAAATTTGCATTTCTAATGAAATTTATACCGACTACATTGTCTACATATTGTCAGTGCGCGCGCCACAACGTGCACGGAATTTGTTATTATTAATAACCGATTACAGTTTAAACAAAAAATCGTATTTGAAGTCGCTTTGAAATGTGCATAACTTTTACGATTGGCAATATTCGCAAAAAGCTCGTAAAATATGCGTAAAATGCGCCGCGCATGACACACATTTACTTTTAAGTTTCGATTTGTATTAACGCATTGAATTCGCGTCCGAAATTTTGTTTAGATTTTTGTATTTTGAGGACGCACACTTAACATTCTTTGAGCGCCGCCATTGACACTGGACGTCAGCGATGTTATAAACAAAACATGCAGGAACATTTTATGAGCGTGATTCAAGCAAAACTATACTATAACAGTGTTGCAAATGTCTAAAAAAGGAAATTTTTATGATAAAATATTTGACATCTGTCAAATATAACATAACCTAACTTTTAAGCTTTGCGTTTACTTCAATGTAGAAATACTTACTTACTTACTTCTGCGTAACATAGTATTTTATTTTATGCGAGCGTCTCTCAAGTTAGATATCCGTGTGGCGCCTGCCGCCTTTGGGCGCCATCGAGCTGTGCGCCGGCAGCCGCAGGATTGCAACACTATCTCGGCGGCTGGTCGTTGCTGGTTGTTGCTTCTTGCGAGTTGTTGCACTCGATGTGCCCACAATGTGCAGGCCTGTAGGCTAGCAGACGCGCAGCCGGCCGGCCTACGCCAGAACATTACGTTCATGCACACAAAAACGACAAAAAACAGAAACAAAACCAAGTTGTGCTGAAACCGACAGCGGCGCAAGTTCAAGCTGCACGCTGCACGTTTCTGAAGATTTTCGACGCCTTCCTGTGATTACTCCTCCGCCGAATGATAGTTTTCATTGCACGTGACAACAAAGATCAGATAGACACAAATTTAAGTTTAGAAAATTTAAGTAATTTTGTTTTGTTTTATAAAACAGATAAATGTATTTTTGGTTGCCTATGTGTATTTTAGTTCAAATCAGCTGCAAACGGTGGCGCTGCAGTTATTTTAAGTCGAAAAAATTGAAATTTAGGTGATTTATAAGCGAAAATTGTTGAATTTAATGGAAAAATGACTTTTTTTCTGTTTTATAAAACAGTTTAATGCATTTTTGGTTGCCTATATATAATTTGCTTAATTCAGCTACAAACGGTGGCGCTACAGTCAATTTAATTCGCAAAAATTGAAATTTAAGTGATTTTTAAGCGAAAATTGTTGAATTTCACTGAAAAATTACTTTTTTCCTTTTTATAAAACAGTAAAATGTATTTTTGGTTGCCTATATGTCTTTTAGTTCACTTCAGCTAACAAATGAAATATAATATATTAATATAAATACAATAGAAATCTAAGCAATTTTTAAACAAAAAATTCTTGAATGTAGTAAATTTCTTCTTAGTAAATGCTTCTTAGTATTCCTACACTACAAGGTGTCATGCATTGTATCTGTTACACCATTGTAGGCATTTCGCAGTCAATGAGTCCGAGGGTGAAAAGTGTGAAGTAGTGTCCGGACAGGATGTCCAGCCGAATGGCGCGCGCTTTTGTGCGTCTTCGCTGTAAACGAAGGTATAATCGACGCGGAGGCGCGCACAAAGCCAGGCCCCCCGAAGAATAAAAATGTGTGAATGGCGCGCGAGAAGCTGAATGAATCCCGAGAGCCCGACACACGGCTGTAGCGAACGCTGCGAAGAATGAAAAGGTGGCGCCGGCAAGTCCACGAGCACCAACTGAGCACACACGCAAGACACAACGGTTTTACTTAGACTATTACCAACGAATGCGCGCCATTGTGTTCGATTTTTCCAGCGCATTCCTAAACACTGTGTAACTGTGTAACTACTATGCAGAACAACATGACAACAACAGAAAAAAAAAGAAGGAGAACATTGGTGTGGTGCATAATCTTACTTTTTGTTCATATGAAAAACGTGCGTTAATTAAACGGGTCTTCACTCAGAGCGACACTTAAGACGCTTCGAATTCTTAAAGCGTTAAACTGTCGAGGTGCGAGATGGTAATAATGGTATCTCGGGGCATCATCGCATCTCATCTTGCATCGCAGCGGTGTGAGCGGTGAGAAATGCGTGGCATATCGACCGGGGGCAATCAACACATTCCACGAGGACGAGACACGCTCGCCATTGAAGAAAACTCGATGGAACTCTCTTGCATTGTGCGCGCGTCGTACCCACGTTGAGGCTTCGCTTCTTTGGTGCCTATCGCACCATCGGGCGCGCATCTTTGATTAACGATTTTGTATGCTTTCAGAGCAACGCGCCGGTGTACCCTTTACCGCCCGCGTGTGTCCGAAAAGGGCATCGTGAAGACATTCCAAGACGTTTAACGAATTTTTCTGTTTCAACTGATATGTCCGAGTGATAAACGACAAGCCAAGAAATAAGTAAAAACCATTTCGGGGGAGTTTTTTTTTTGTGAATATTGACCAGATGTTGTGAATTATTGCAGAAAGTCAGCAACCAGCTTTACCAACCGCAGGTAAAAACGAGTTTAAGGTGTCGCACGACACCGCGAATAAAATATGCAAATGCGCACGACGGCGAACATGAGTGTCCGCACGTTTTACACGCCCGTTTAGTGTCCCACTGTTCGCGATTTACAAAACGCTTACAAGACGACAACCACCTTTTTTTATTCATTCATAAACACATGCAAAACATTCAACTCGCTCCGCAAAACACAGAAACACAAGTTTTATTCGCTGAAAAACTAGATTTTACGACGATGGTGGCGCCATCATTATATCGAGCATATTTCACATACGATTAGAGTTAAACACGCTCATTAATCGCGCGCGCAGACGAATTTTACGACCTGCGTCACATTGCGTAATGTCAGCCGCACATAACCTCAAACATACGCTATGACATAATCGATTAAGTGCACACTTGACAGATGTCAAATTTGAATATTTATGCGATGCGCCACGGTGTTAATGATGTTGATGCGTTGAAAGGCATGCTCGCACGCTGGAAATGCGCGAAAAACATTTAAAAGCGCGTTATTTATACACGCTACTACCGCGCAACGCAAAATCTAAATAAATATCGGCGCGCGCGAACAGGAGAGAAAAAACACGCGTAAAATTTATACGCCGGCGCGCGCTAATCGCGTGGCGCCAAGCCGACACATAAACATTATTCAATCATAATAAATACATAAACGGCGCGAGCGCAAGCGCCACGCCAGCTCGGATTGGTGGCAATAAGTTAATAATGTCGTTTATTAAATATTTGTAAACAAGCGACAAGTATGTGGGCAAACAACAGGCCTAGAATATACAGAGTGTTCAAGAATTTATTCACATTTACGTAAATTACTTGTATATTTGACTTGCGGTACAACTATCGAACATATAGTTAAAATATTTTTTTAAATTTTGTTTTTTATTGGATAATATTTTTATTTGAGGTTATTTTTAACCTAATTTAACCTTAGTGTATACAAGTGTTCATCCTGATCGAGGAAGAATCGTAAATCACGCATTATGACCGCTGCATCATTTTACGATGATTATTGTAATTTGTGCGGACGCGAGTTGAAATTCGCTATTAAATTTATTATTAAATTTATGCGCGGCGCCCCATGATCGATGAATCTACGTCATCACATTATTATACAATGTGTTTAGTATTAAAACACTAAAAAAAAACTACACTGTACACACTGTATATTTTGTTATGATTGTAATCATAGTGGTCGTTAAAGTGATTTAATAATTTATTTGTTGTTCGATTTATTAAATTAATGGCTACGTAATTGGTGAGTGATCGATGTGTCTGATCGAAAAGGAAAACAATCATTTTCGCATATTTTACAGATGACTATTTATATATTTAGGTTATAATTGAGGTTAGATGTTGTTTGTCACTAGATGTAGCAGTTGTGGTGGGGATAATTAACTTTTTAATACCGCGCGTGTTTGAAATGTGCCCGGGCGCGATTAATAACAATCATTATCGATCGATCGGCGTTGAGGAGCGATTAATAAAACGAATTATAAATTATGTTAATTCCGGCGAGGCGCGAGTGTGATTTATAGCGATGCGCGAGCAAAGGTCGCACCATCGACGATTTATTAACATCCTGAGCTTTCAGTATCCGTACAGGAATTTAAAACTGAGCGAGAAAAAAAAAACTAACACGAACAATAAAATAAAAGTAAATCTTTTGTGGAAAAATTTCGCTCCGGAGATCAAAGTCGGTGAATGTGAAATATGAAAATATTGCTGCGTCAATAAAAGCGCCGGTGTGAGGTTTACGATGTGGCGCAGACCTGCATTAAACAAGGTGTTTGTCGTAAGGCGTTAGAAAAGCGTTATTATTGCCGAAAACCGGGTGGCTCCGATGTCACCAGTTGGAACTTGTCGCCGAAGTGTCTTCGAAATGTCTTCGAAACGAAAGCCCACCTGTTATTCGAAGCTGGCGCTCGAAATTTTATCTCCGCTGCGCCACAATACGCCGTAAAAGGTGTTATATGCGAGCTGGGAATAATAAAAGCGGGCGCAACAAAATATTGAGCTGCACAAAGGCATAAAAGCACCACAAAAGCTCAAGAATTTACGAAATCATTTGAATCAAAGCCGGGAGGAAGCTAAACATTTTCAGAATTGACGAGGATGAATCACGTGCCCTGGCTAATGATTCATAAGTTAGAAAATTAAGTGAAAATTAAGTCATTTCTAGACTTTTCCTACAGGCGTATTAATTGTGTAATTAGTTTATTAGTAAAAAGATGATTTATAGCGTGTTGCGTTGCGCAAGATTAGCGCAATGAGATCGGATCGGGAAAACCGCATCAAACCGAAACTAATCAACGAAGATACGGCTCATTAGAACATTTTAAATAGTAAAAAATTATATTCCATGAAATTTATTAACACTTAAAAAAATTCCATTCGGAATGTAAAATTTTATCAAAAAAATTTTTTTTCACTTTCAGAGAAAAAAATTTTATTTTTTGAGGTTATATTATTGACAGTTTTGATACTTTTGACATTTTTGACAGAAAACATCCTTCAAACACATTGTATGTTTATAATAATTGTTTAGTATGTTTTTTGTGTATTATATTGATAAAACTGATTATAACCGCACACCAAAAATGTTTTACTTTGAAGATTTATTTACGTCTTGACTGGTCGCGTCGTGTCCGTGTGTGGCGCCAGGATCATTAATCCTTTAGCGAGAGAGTGCGAAATCGCGTCGCCGACGAAAAGCACCGCGCAAAAATCGCACAGCCTGCCAATCATTCGTCGCTGGGGCCATCAATAAAAAAATCACACACACCGAAAATAAAAACTCTACAACCGATGACTCATCCGGAAATTAATAAATCACTTGCGTAATTTTCTCACAACTTCTAAGATATCACTAGTAGTTGTAGGTGCAACTGTGTGGATTTGCAATAAACAAGCATAAATCGCGGTCTAGACGCGGCTGCGATTATAAATAACAATAAACCAGATAATAATAAAATACATTGGAAATGTGCACAAATTGTTGCTGCTCGCTTTGCATAAATGCGCGAGCGCGGCGGAAAACTGCACTCACGTATGTATTAATTGGCGTAAGTTACGAGCGATTGTCGCCGCGGAATAATTGCCGATAAACAAATAAACAAACGCGATAGATAAACCAATAAACAATCGGGCATAATTGCGAACACATTGCGGCACACATCCAGCGCAGAGTGCGGTCGTAAAATAAAATGTGCGGGTATAAAAAGTAATTAAAATGTATTTCCTGATTTTTTATCGGTTTACATATGGTTAGAGACGCCATTTTGTATAGAAGAAAGAACCACAGACTTTTACTAACATTCTTTGGTAGAAAAAAGTGTGGGAATGTTCAAAAAGTGGAGTTTTTCATCAAAAAAATTGTAAAAATGATAATTTGGGTGTTTAAAGTAATAGTTTTGCGCACTAGTGCGTAAAACTAAAGTTTTTATCGTAATATCAAGCGAATAATTCACATTTTGATAAATTTGTTTACTAAAAAATGTTTTTTTGATTTTTGAAGCTTTAAAACATTAAAAACAAGTCAAAATCTAAATCGTGTATAAAGTATAGTATTCAACATCAACGTAACATGTCATTTCATGTCGGTTCGAAATAATTTATTATCGATAACAGCATTATGTAAAGTATACCAATGTTGATGACAGGAAAAACCCGAAAAGTTATAAAGCCATTGTTGCGCCCCCGAACACGACTCCCCCAACAGCGCCACTAATCCCTAATCACAGTAGGCGTAATTGAGTAAGTCGTCAGCTCGTAAACGCAGGGAAAACCCATCCCTAGTTCTACTTACCGTCAACATTGCACCCCGCAATAAACACGCATCCAATTTCTAATTCTAATTATTTTTAGAATCGAATATGTTTAGCAGACGAGCAAAAAAAAATCGCGACATATGTGTGTATATATGTAAGTAGAAGCAAAGCAGCGCAGCGCAAACACTAGGGATTAAATTGGCCAAGGACGAGCGCGATCGACATGTCATGTCCCATCCGAGTATACGTATCACGCGAATGTGTGAGAAAACCAGACGTTTGGCGCGAACGACGCTCGTTTTACCATTTATAGCAGCGAATTAAGCGATTACAATGCGTCCGTCGGGCCGTCACTGACACAGCCAGTTATCTGCTACAAAGAAGTGTACAGTAAAAACTTTTTTTTTCTGTATACAAAAGCGGCATAAACGTAAAAATAACATTTTAATGCCTAGGCAGTGAATTTTGACTTTTTAGACGAGGAATAAGAATAGTTATGTGTAACTAGTGTTGCAGTCAAGATGGCGCCGTAAAATGTGCGCATCTTTTTTAATCTGCATGAAAACTGCTCAATTCTCACGCGTGGCATTGGCGTCGCTCTTCAGCGGCCTCGGCCGGGCGGGCGCCGGCCGTTTCATTAAAACAAAGTCGCGATGCCGACGATGCGCGCACACGCATTAATACAGACTTACGCGACTTAATTATTGACAACTACGCGCGGCGCTAATGAACACAACGCAAATTTTATACATTTTATTACATTCAATCAATCATGCTTTTTATTCAATTTTTTTTAGTGATTTTATTTTATGGGAATTTATTACACTCGGTATATTAATCAGTTGTTATTAATTCCGGTAGCAATTGCGGCTGCTGATAATTAGTTCCGCGACGACGCGGAACGGCGACACTTGTGGGGTTCGACGTCGCGACAAAAGATAACCTCAGTTTCTGCAACTTTGTAACTTCCGTAAATCCAGGCGTAACCACCTCTTCTCGCACCCCCTTGTTGGCGTGGCGTGAGGATTACGCATGGCTGTAGTTCGCACGGAAGCTTTTCGGCAGCTTTTCGGAAGCTTAATGCGCTTAGCGCGGCGGAAAGTGAAGCGGTAAGCCGATTAAATTCAGACGGCGTACAAGAAACAATGTTCAATGAGCTTTTCAAAGCTTTTTGTGTTTTTGTGTTTACACGTTTTAATATTTTTTATTCTCTGTGGATATTTTCTTAGAAAATCATCCAATGCGCAGTATACTGATATTAATACATTTTTTCTGCGATGTGAAAAACGTAATAAATAATAAAATTTACTTGGCTCAGTGCTTTTTATGAAAGTTTCGGTTTGTTTGGTGTATTTTTATCGAAATTAAGCGATGATGTGTTCCGGCGACATAATATCTACGCATCTTGTTTGTAGAGAAGAAAAAACGAGATCGTGACTAAGCAGTAGTGAGCTTAGTAAAGTAGGCTTAAGTTTTTTTTTTTTTTGCGGGTAAATCGAAAATATCAAGAGTTTTGCGTTGTGTGTACTAGGTAGTGTCTGGCGTAAGAGAAAAATCGCATCGGTTGCCAAGCAAATTGGCGAAAAATCACGCCTATCGAGGATGATTTGTGACCGCGCATCGGGCATCAAACTTCAAACGCTACAAGAAGAAAATGATGCCATACTTTGCTTAAAATAAGTTTAAGGTCATGGGAACACTTGCGTATTTTTCACATAAAATTAATAGGTAATAGGATAACATGAAAATATGGAAAAATTATAAAAATTGAATTTTCAGAGTTTTTTTATCGAAAATTTTGATTTTTTTGGATGAAAATTATCAAATATTATATTTTTTTCTTTTAAAAAAATATGGAAAATGATTGGTGATTGAAAAACTTTAAGAAAATTTGATTTTTTTAACAAATTTTGATTATTTTCATAAATTTTTGGAAAATTTGTGATATTTTAATATTTTTCATGTTTTTCTCACAATTTTTTAAATATTGAAACGAAATACCTTAATGTAAATTCAAAATTCAAATCTTTTTTGAAAAATTAATTTTCTTCTTTTATTTTGTAAGTAATTAAACATGAAACTCATGTAAACACTTTTACAAACGCATTTTACCCGCGATAAAAATACTCTGGCAGTAAATAAAGTTGAGTTTGTAGGTGAGTCGTTCCAAGTGAGAAAAATGAAAAATCATACGACGAGAGGTGTGCACGCGACTTATTACACGTATCGCCGCGTGCGATTAGTGAAAGTGCAATTATTTCGGAATTTAGAAGGCGAACGAAACGAACGCAGCGCGGAATTGCAATCTGCAAAGGAAACGGCACTTTTCATACACACGCCGTCCACAAATCGCCACACATAAAAGAAATTCATCAAACCACATTATTTCCCAATTAAAATTTCCACGAACACATTGTAGATATCAACGTAAAATGCTCGCTTGTTGCATAAGCATGTCGCGCTGTCGCGCAGCGCAATTAACGAATAACTTGATAAGATCAATTATTGAAAAATGTAGTTTTCAGCTTTTCCAACATCGCATTCGGATCGAGAAAAAATTGTTTGTTTGTTAGAATGGGTACTCCACACGACTCGATGACTTTTATCGCGGCTTGTTTTTGTTTGCCATGGCAAACATTAACGTTTTCTCGTAAAAGTTGTAAACCAACGAAGTAGGAAAGTCAGGTGGGTTGTTGTTCGAGAGCCAGTTTCTAAGCGGATGGGAATTTCCCAGGCTTTACCCGGTAGCGCTGTAATTGTCGAATTCAAACCAAACGCATCCCCTAAATGCCTAAATATTTAAGCGCTGTAATCCGTGCTTTAATACCGTGAACAACGCATACCGCGCAACTTGTAATAATAATCATAAAACCCGCTGCTAGATTACAAGATGCAAATAATTAGATTTATTTAATATTTATGTTGATAGGGTTGAAATTATAGCGCCCGGGAAAATACACACATTTTTAATTGGTTAATAGATGATTTATCGTAATGTGAAATGTTTAGATGCATTAAAAAGTTGGAAAGTTGTGAGATAAAGTTATAAATAAATTGTATGTAATTTGTTAATTCATAAAATAAGCAACTTTGATAAGTTACGAATGCGTAATCAGTGTAAAATAAACAAAGTCGCTGATTTATGAGCTTTTTGCAAGCTCATTTCCATGAATGTTGTAATAAATAGAAGAGTACATAAAATTTACTAACAATATAGTAAATACATAAAATGTTTCATAACATAAACAGTTTTGCTATAATTTGCGGAATTTTAAGTGGATTTTAAAGTTTTTTACGTTCAGGAAGTGAAAATAATGTTTAATATTTTAAATATTTATACATTTTATAAATTCTAATTTATTTATAGGTATTATTACATAATTTAATTCATTTTTATTTGTTACTTTAGAAAATATTTACGTTTTGCTGAAAAATAATTTTTACAAATTTTGAAGTCAAATAACTCCGAAACTATTAAAAATATTTTAATTTTGTAAATTGCATATTATGTAATATTTAATTATTTATATTTGTGGAAATTTTCAAGTGATTTGAATGATTATTTTACGAGATATTTGAAAATTTATAAACACTTTCAAAAATCGAATTCTAAAGAAATGATGCACATCCAACTTTGGAGCGCAATAACGCTTAAAATATTTTAAATATTTAATTTGCGTAACAGCCATGCGTTGTATTGCTATTTAAGGAACATTCACCATAAATTTGGTCAAAATTTATCCAACACTTCGCAAAATATTCCCATTTTTCCAGAACCTTTCCAAATCAAATAAAACTGAAAATTTACGACGATTTTTCCAACTTCCAATGAAAGTTTCCGCAGTTTATCGAATAGTTTAGCAACATTTGATGATTTACACCCTGAAAACAGATTTGCAACGAGTACTTAGCAGTAAGTAGCCGCGCGTTGCGTTTAACGCAAGCAGCACTTGCGCGCGTTTCGCACGCGTTTGTGGGTGCGCGGCGCTTTGGCGGCCGGGGTGGGGGTCGGCGTCGTAGCGCATTTAGCGGCGGGCGGCAAGCCGAGAGCGCTCAGTCTCGCACGCACCTCATCGTCGGTTCGACATTAACAACAAACATTCTCACACGGATCACGTACCGACCGCGCTGTGTACACGCGCGCACCTCTCGAAATTCAGTGCGCGACACTTTTGTCAAATTTCCAACCCTTAAACATCATATCATCTCAGTGTGATTGGTATTCAACAAGTGCAGCAATCAATTTGTGCGTGCGATTAAACCCAACGAGCGAAAACGCGAATCGACTTAAGTAAAGTAAAACACATAGTGGTGTGGTGGTGGTGAACGATGAATTGAAGTGCTTCCTGCGTGCGACGTGGATTTCACCTCTCGATAGAAACGTCGAGTTTCCGAGATCCGTACCGATTAGCTCGTCGCTCGCTGATATTCGAAACCACACACGATGGCGATGGCTGCCACCGTTGTCCTGACGCTGTTCGCGATCCTCGCCGCCGTCACGGCGCGCAGCAAAAGTCCACTCATCGACGAGGCCGACACGCGGATGGTGAACAAAGCTGCCGGTAAGTGACTTAAGGCTCTAAAATTATCGCGCAGCGGACGCGAAATTATGACAAATAAAAAAACTAGGCGCAATGTAAATAAAAATGAGATAATCAAATATTTATGTACACGCTGGCAATGAGGCGCGTAAGCGGTGACTTTGGCAGGCGGGAAATTTATGTATGTCCGCACCTGCGAAAACTTATAAAAAACCGTACAACTTGCGCTACACTTGAGATATTTCATTTTTGTTTGAATCTATGTAAAGATCACATTATCCCCGATAATTTTTGGCTTCTATAAAATTTTAATAACTTTGATAGTTTAGGAAATATTTGACTTTGAAAAATTTCGTCCTTAATTTTTTTCTTAATTATATAAATCATCATAACTCAATAACTAATCGACATAATTAATTTCTATAAAAAGTTTTGGATTGCTTGGAACCCGGACTAAATTTTTTGTCTCTATAAATATTTTGATATTGTCATTATTTATCGAGTTATTCGATGTTTTCGTATACAGGATATTCTATTTCGGTGGTATTAGTCATATTTGGCACTTTTTGGCTTTGGGTTGCGTAACCGCGGTTGTAAACACACGCACACCGCCCAAAAAAAGTGTCGCACCGTCTGCCGCGGAAAATAGGTCGACTTTCCTTCGCTAAGACGATGCGTCACGGCGCGAATAAATCGTAATAACAATTCCGTGTTGCGCTTGCTTTTTTCCCTTCGGTTTTTGTCGCGCGCTCAAAAATCAACAAAACAGATGTCGCCGGTCGTCCTTAAACAGTGCGAAACCTTGGCGCAAGGTTTTTCACTTGTGTGTCATTGCATGTGTATGCGTATGTTGTGTTTTATCGCATAGAAATTCGCACGAAAAATGATCAAATCAAAATTTAGGAGCGGCCGAGCGGCACATAGCAGTGGAACGACCTCGATAGGCGTCGCGACGCGCTTTTAGCGCACGCACATGCCGCCAAACTCAAATAGAAATGCGTCGCGACGCGCCGACACTATAAATTGTTCGCGCATCACATTGCGCGGATGCACTTAAGTCACTTTACTCAAATATCTATACAGTGTGTTCATAGAATCACACATTTATATAATAAATGTTATATATTACACTTAAGTCATATGGCTTAAGTTGTCTAAAGTTACTTAAGTCAGATGTCTGAAGCAAGATGAAAATTGATCGCGTTTTGTGCACAATTTCATAATTCAAGACGCGAAAAAAATGTTTTTTCGCATGAATTGCGAAAAGTTGTAATTTTGTACGTCGACGCCAGGGATTAATTAATGGCTTACGCAATGATGCGCTTGTGAATCTATGTGTGTGTCGACGTATCGAAAAAGCGAAATCGTTTAGCGTAGCACTCGCGGCGCCACATCGCTATTCGTGGGTCGTAAAAGTGCGCTTATTTATAGAAACCCGGCGTGGCGTGCGTCCGATGCGCTCGTTCCTCGTGTGCGCGCACGGTTAAGTCTCTTCGCTCGTATGGCCACCCTGCCGGCGCTAACTTTGCAACGCGAGACAATTGTTTCTCACACGATGTTTGCTTATCACCCGACTGCGCGCTCGACTTCGATAACAATCTATCAATAGGCGATAATGTAGCGTCGAAGATGATAACGTATTTACGTTTTTCGCAAGGTAGCCACGATTGGAAATCTCAAATATAACGTAAATAACAAATTAAAATACAAAAGATTTCAAATTGAATTAAATTATGATTAGGTTAGGAATTATTTTAAGAAAAGAAAAAAGAGAATAATATTGAATCCCTACTAATATTATAAATGCGAAAGTCCTGATGTTTGTTACACTTTCACGCAAAACCTACTTAACTGATCATCATGAAAATTTGTACACATATTCTTAGTGGTCCCCGAATGGTTATAGGCTACTTTTTATTTAATAAAAAAAATTATTTTTTAAATAAAATAAAGAAATTGTTTAGCCAATAATACCTCTGCATCTGACTATTTGACTACTTTAACGCCATCTAGCATTCCAGCAATGAAGCTCAAACCTAAGTACTATAGTACCATCACACTGTATTATCACACTGTATTACCGACAGCTACGTCAACATCAAATCCAATTGACTACACTATGGAGACTGTACACTATACTTCCATAGACTATACTTTCAGCCATTTTAAACTACCCGCCATTCTACTTCATTGTTACTTCTTCTGTGTCTACAGACGCGTACGGAAGCAACTTCATTATTTTAGATATTCGCGAGCGAAGCCGCGGGTTAAAGCTAGTTATGTATAAATATTTATCAAATTGTAGTTTTTTAATATATACAGTGTGTGTTAATTAATTTTTATGACTTAATTATAAATATTATTGTATAAATCACACATCACGTGAAAGGTAATTTTATCCTTGCTAAAATAATATCATTGATGATTAAATATCTTTATTTGTTTATGTGTTACGCGATGTTTTGATACTTGATGTACTTCACGATTGTATAAATATTTATAATTTAATTAATTATCAAATTTTTCCAATTTTCTTATTTTATTCTCAAAATTAGGACTTTTTAAAGCTTTTTTTCATTGATATTCACGATTTATTCAATTTAAAATTGAAATAAATTATTTTTTGCAATTAAATATTAATCTATTAATACAATAAATAGATTTACAGATAATTACATCTCATAAAATGATATCTAAGCTACTATTGCACAATTTTCATTTATTATTTTCTTTAAATTCAATTTTTTCATTCATTTTTTAATTAAAATTCATTTTTCAACCCTCAATATCTATAATAATTATATTCCTACTTATATAATTCTAATTCTATATAATTTCGCGTAACAAACAAAACAATTCGATTACGATCGATGTAAACGTACTCGAAACGCGCCTTCTATGAAATTGCGCGATGATCTTGAACTCTCTTTTATGAGCGCGCGGCGGGCACATTAAATCTGTAACGCACCCACATGCCGCTTTGATTCTCCGCATCGCGCCTCGTTGTCGCCGATTCGCGAATCTCTAATTCGACAATCTCTTCCAAAAGCGACGCGCGGCCATTGTTGTCGTTGCGACAATGTTCGCGGAAACAGCGCGCAGCGCGCACGTGTCGCGCATAATTAATCAGGCATTCATTGAAATTACCGATCGCGTGCATTGACACGAAACGCACAAGACATAAATTCAATTTAATTTATTAATAATGCTTTAGATGATTTGCGCGTGGGACGTGTATAAACCATATATAAAGTTTATTATGTTTTCGAACATATTGTATATAGAATTGTGCCGCCGACGCGTCGGGTTCTACTTCGATATGTTCAATGACACTTATAATTCAATATGTTTTCAATAAATCGAATAAAAAGGTCGCGCGAGTGTGCAATATACACTTAGTTTAAAGAAAATCATAGGGAAATTTAATTTAAGCACGAAAAAGTTTTGAGATTGTGCGGTTGAAAAAAGTGGGCGTCGTTTTACGCCGTTTTTGGCTGAAATTACACAACGCACCGACGCGCATCTCTCCGACCATATGGTCGACGTCCTGACCGCCAAAGGCACACATGCTCATATACACTCTGTGTGTGCGCGTGTGTTAAAACTGGATTTAACCTCAAAATTTGCGCGATTTCGATTGTTCTCGAGTGTGTGGGAGGTGCAAATCGCGACTTTCTGCCACGGTGTGACTTTCTTTTCTTCGCCTTTTTCGTCATTTCGGGCGAGCGCTGAGGAAAAGGAAAAAGGGTCGGCGTATGTGTGTGATACTTGTTGCATCACGCCGTCGCCGCATACGTCTTCTTGACGCGGCTTATAAGGAAGAAGCCCCCACGGAAGTGTGTCTCCACGCACGCTCGCGCGTATTTAGGCTACGAGTGCAGATGGTGCACTCGCCAAGGAGCTGAAGAACGCCAAAATGCCAAATTAGGCAGAAGAAATCTTTTGCTCTTGGAAATTGTTTCATGCTTTCGCAAATGGTCACATAGAGGGAGCTGGAGTTGGAATTATCAAAAAAATTTTTAGAAAATTAAAAAAAATTATTTATTTTAATTTCTAGAGGTTTATAAATAAATATAAGATAATTAACAATGTAGATGTTGTCAAATTTTGACAATGTTTGTAATTATTTGATAATATTTTATTTTTGGTGAAAAAAATTTAAAAATAAAATTTATCAACTTTCGATAGTAATATTTTAATCATATAATATATCAAATTGAAGCCACTTTAATCTACTATAAGCTGATATAAATTTAATTTAAATAATTTTATTTGTTTAGAAGAAACAAACATTTTTATACTCCGATGCATTTTTTCTTTTCTGTTGATGTTAGTTTTTTGATGAAAATTTTTGCCATTATTAGCATAAGTCGACATCACGCGCAGCACAGCTCCCAGTCTGGCTGCCGTGGCTGTTGTTTATATTTAGCCGCAATATTAATGGCGGTCAGACGCCTCGGCTGCAACTACTCGCAACTAGTCGCGCGGCGCAACAGGCGAAAAACATTACGCTGATTTACAATTCGTTGCCACCGTGCCACCAGTGTCGCGCACGCGTTTCTTCGCGTGCGCGGTTATGCGTTATTTTTACAAGTAATAAAACGCGGGGCGTCGCGACGCCGCGCAAAAATTTGCGCCCAACAAACGCCTAGCGAATTAGACTCGCCGCGCGGCGTCAGGTCATTAAACTTGCTGGCGGGCCGCGAAATAAATCAGGAAGCCAATCGGGCGTTTTACGCGCTTTTCACACATCGATTTTTTCGCAATAAATTTTCTCTCGCGCGCACACTGCGAAAACAATTTTACTTTGAGCGTTAAACGCGTTTTTCGCCGAAATAATAAATCGATGAGTGAATTCGAAAAGAATTTATATCCGCGTTGTGGAATTCTTTTTTTTTTTTTTTTTGGGAGAAAAATGTCGGTTACGTTTTGCTTAGTTGAATTATCTAATGACGTCCGTTGATGACTTTATATCGGCATTGAATTGCTGCCAGTGTGTGAGGTGTAACTCGCGACAATTTTTCGCGCGACTTCCTCACATCACGCGCGCTCAATGAACGCGTAAAATGGCAGCGTGCACGGTTTCACGTCGGCCCAAACAAAGCCCACCACCGAATGACCGGCTCGAAGCGTTTTAATTTAGATCTGACCTTTCTCAATCAATCCGTCCATCAGCGGCGGTCCGGCCGCCGGCATACAGTGCGTTTTTACCGAAGCCGGGGGGCGAGCTAATGTGGATTTGTGTGTGTGTGTGCGCGCGATGATTGGTTTCGCGCGCGGCAATTAACATTAATTGCGGATCGGGACCGGGCAGACATCATGTCGCGGGCCGCGAGCTCTCCGCGCATTGCGTCATCGCGTGTGCATCGCGGCGCGCGACATGTGACATCCAGCTCGCGCGCGAAATGCGCTTAGTCACGTTTCCCATGTGCGAAAACTCGATTCGCTATTTTATTTTTATGTTTTTCATCTTGACCAGTTTTCATTTGACTTTGGTTTATGACAGGTTTATTGTGCGCTGTTTTTGACAGCGGGGACATTTTTATTGCATTTTGATGCATCTAAAAACAGATCAGGTTATGATTTCATCTTAATTGTCAAAATTTTTAGGTTAAATTACGTTTTATTTGACATGTTAGATAATTTTTGTAGAAATTGTCAATTTATTTCAATTTTCTATTAGTTTTTTATACGTTTTTATGCATAATTTAGGTTATAATTGTGACAGCAACGCCATCTTGGTGTCACTTTGTAGAAAATTGAATTATATTTCTATTAATGTCAATAATTTTATGAAATAGTAGATATTTTCATATATATTTTGGGAAAATATGACGACTGCTTTAGTACGCTGTAAATTTTCCAAAACTGTTTGCGTACATTTTGTTTGATAGCTCTGGTTCTAATTTTGACAGCGGCGCCATTTTAGTGCTAATAAGTAGCGACTTAAATTGCCTTTCTAAAAATATATAACTTGCAGACGAAAATATTGCAATAAAGCTGATATTTGTTGATAAACTTCTAAATATTTTTGTTATCCTACAATTTTTCCAATCAATTTTAATACATTTTGTTGGATATCTAAAGTTCTATTTGAGGTAGCGACACCATATTGATATCATTTTGTAGATAATTAAACAACCTTTCATTTGATGCATTATTTATTTTAAAATTCAGCTTAAAAATATAATTTTCTCTGCTTTTTGTTACAGAATGCGTATTTGGAAGTCAAATCAAGGACCTCGGCAGCTCCTGGATCCCAGACCTGGGCCCCCCGATCAACGTCCTTTACTGCACCCGCTGCGAATGTGTCAAAGTAAGCATACATCCTCGCCGCACACACCTTTGCGCGCGTTTCGCTGATATTTATCGATAACGCCGCGACTGTCGGTTGTTGTTGCGCTCGCCGGCGCGCAAGAAGTGTCACGCGCGCAGCGCACGGCCCCACACGCACACAATGCAGAACTGGTTTTCTCCATTTGGTCCTTCTTTTCGCGCCGCCGTGGCTTTTCTATAAATACGGGCGCTTTATAGGCGCGCTCCTTCGCGGATTCGCGGGGCCGGCGCGCCGGCGGGCGATGTGTGTTAGCAGTCGCCTTCGACGAAATAAAACCCGACTAGACCAGACGCCGCAGAAATAGAATTTATATTTTCGAGATGCGCGCCAGCACCCAGCGAGAGATAATTGGACTAATTTGTTTTTGTTTCTTGCGTGACTCTTTCAGACGCAGCGGAAGAAGCGGATCGTGGCCCGCGTGCAGTGCAGGAGCATCAAGGAGGAATGCCCGGAGCCCACCTGCGCCGAGCCGAAACTAGAGCCTGGCAACTGCTGCAAGACGTGTCCCGGCGAACCATCCAGTAAGTACTTAATTCTCATATAGAAAATAACTTGATTTGCCGAAATTCGAAATCACGAGCGTGATGCGCATGTCGCATGGCTTGTAAATAGCCGCACGACGACGATTCGGATCCGTATTTACAAGGTTATCGAGATAAGCGGGCGTGCGCTCCGTCGGGAGTGGAAAAAAGTGTGAAAGAACGAGGAATACGCCGTAATAACATTCGCGGCTGGCGCCTGGCGTGCGCGCGCTCCGTCTCGAGACCGCCTGCATGCATTTATGTGCATTACGCTTAGAAGAGAGTCAGTCGGTCGACGCGATACAGATAGTTCTCGTGAGATCAGACCTACATTACGTATTTGTGCACCGCGCAGATAGAATGCGGGCGCGCTTCGCGTAAATATTATCCTGCTGGCAGACATGCCGCACATGCATAACCTCAAAATGCATCACTCTGATCTTTTTCGTGATCGTTTTTCCCTCCTGAATGCTGCTTGTTTTGACGCCGACGACGAAAACGGTTACGAGTGATAAGCAGACAATAAAATCATTTATATTATCCAACGCCAGGTTTACTATATTTCCGAGTTTGTTTGCGCCACGAGTTTTATTTACCCGTGTCATCGACTGGCATCATCCAAACAAAATTTGAAACCGAAACTATTTTTATCTGTTTGACGATTAATTACGCCGATAAGAAACCGGTTACCAGTACATTTTAAACTATATTTTATTAGAGAATTAAATAAGGGTTGATTTTAAGTTGGATTTATCTCGGTTACCATAAAATTTGTGCGATATTTTATTTTTTACGTTTGAGATGTGCTTAGCGTAATAAGTGTCGAGTTATGCACTTCTAAAAATAGTCCGTTAGCGAATACAATATATGCGATGCAAACGCGTCAGATTTATTGCCGTTTATTGGCGGATCGGGAGCGAAATCTCCGCGTGCGCCTTGCACTTGAACGCACTTGACTTGTTTGTAGTCATGCCGCCATTTTGTGAGCGCTTGACGTCAGCCCCGAGAAAAAAGGTTAAATTTCATTTTCGTGAAAATTTTTTGAGTACTCGCATGCCGGGTGTGAATCCGAAACTATTTCAAGGGCACACGTCGTCGACACACGAGACATGTCTCGTAAAAATAGCCGCGAATTCGAAATAAAACACAGAGAACAAATGAACGCGACAGCGTCGAGACGCATTGCTTAATTACCGATTCCGCAAAAAATGTTTTAGACCACAGCGAAACTTTTCAATGTCTAAGATTTATTTTTGTTATTTCAGACGAAGCATTACAGGATATTATACCGAAAAATGTCGCTGAGGAAGAAGAAAAAAATTCCAAACGTAAGTTTTTTATATTCATTTTTTAAATTTATGATTTTTCTAAATTTTAAATTTTTTAAAATAGATTATGCTGCGTTACTGACTGGACGTTCATCTCTAGTCCTACGTAATGATGACAACAAACCAATCCCCAATGACAATAAAAACAATGTCGTCGCCACTGGACGTTTCAATTTCCACAGGCGCAGCTTATACTACTCTTTCTACATCTCCGACCGAGCTGCACGTCCATACCGTCTACAATTCGTAGACCCAGACGCAAACATCCTCGAAGAAATCACCCTGAGTGAAGCTGGCGGCTCTGTTAACAGCGTTTATCAGAATGCGACGCGTAAAGTGTGTGGCGTATGGAAACGCCTCCCACGTGACTACCGCCGTCTCTTGAAAGATGAACGCCTTTTCGTGGTCCTCGTATGGGGCGCCACTAATGAATTCATGTTGAGTGGACAGATCAAACGCTACGCAGCCTTGGATACAGAACTTTTTAGTTCACTCATGGAACCAGCTCCGGGTACAACCAGCATGCAAGGCGCAGGTGGTACCGGAATCATCTACACCAGCACTTCTTTGACTCCGAGCATCCACGTGGCGATTGTATTCAATGGTTTATTCGAAGCGAATGAAACCAAGGATGTCCCTGTTGAGATCACATTGATGGACGAGCGTAAAATTCCTATTTTAAAGGAGATAAGAATTGTGAGTAAACCCGCTTTGGATTTGAATTTGGTGGAGTTGAGTACGGTTGTGTCAGGACCTGATCTACGGTCATTGACAAGAGGAAGGTTATTATTGACAGTCGCTTCTCTATCACGACCACATTCATTGAAGTTGGTTGGTAATATCATGACGAAAACCACTTGTGAGTTGTTTCAAACGTTGTTGGTACCACCTCAAGGTGACACCACTGGACTTGCCTGGATGTACCTGAACAATGAAGGTTATCTAGTCTATAATATCCAAATCGATGGTCTAGGGCATCAGAAACCCGACCTTATTGTATTATCAGATATGTCTACTAAGAGAAAAGTTGAATTATTGGATATCACTTCTTCATATCACAATGGCTGGGCTAATGGTACCCAGGATAAAATCACGCCAAAGATTATCGAACCGTTGTATTCTGGTAATCTGTGGGTGAGTGTTGCAAAGGGGAATTATTCCATGACGAAAGGTAATTTTACAATGGCGAAAGGGAAATTGGTACCTAAGTTGGTAGCTGATGCTAGAGATGCACCTGCGCCGATTTTATTAAGACGGGAGAGTAATGTACCCTCTAGTGCAGTGGGATTGGCTTGGATTAATGTGGATAACATGTGTAATTTACATTATGATGTTACTTTGAGTGGATTGGGACATCCGGGACCTTTGGATGTGTATTTGGAGATGTTACCAATGATTGCACCTGGAGCACCGGTTATTCCAAGACATTTGGGGGAAATTGTTGGTGGTAACTTGGATGGTTCCACCAATGATATTTTACGTCGTGAGGAACTCAGACGGTTGGATTCGGGTGTTGCGTTTTTGAAGATCAAGGATAAATCGAGCAGGCATAATCTTACATTGCTAGCAGCTACCTTAAAACAAGTAAGTTTTGATTTTATTCTTATTTAATAATTTACTAATTATTTTTTATTGTTTTCATAGATTAAAGTGCCAGCGACTTGCCTACCACAATTGACAGATGACAATAACGTAGGTCTTTCACATCTCGACGCCAATGAAGACAACATGGCCCAAAATGGTGGCGATTGCTTCCATGGTGGACGATTCTATACAGATGAAGCCTCCTGGACATCAGCGTTAAACCCATGCGAAATCTGCGTTTGTAGAAATGGACAAATCAAATGCGATACAGCAAAATGTCCCCCTTTAAACTGTCCCAATGGACAAAGACTCCATCCGGGTGATTGTTGTCCAGTTTGTATTGACAATGATGACTCCTTTAATGATGACAACACACCACGCAGATGTCAGTTCGGTGGTCGAACATACGGTCACGGAGCTCGCTTCCATCCATATCTTATTCAAACAGGTTTTGATGAATGCATATGGTGCACGTGTAAAGCCACCCGCAACGAAACCGAAGTACAATGTGCACGTATCCAAAACGAAAAGTGTTGCCCAACGTGTAACCACCCTGCAGTGGTGGATTCAATGAATGGCAGTATGATTGGTGACCGACCCAGAGACGCATTCGCTCATCATCGACCACATCATGATCCCATACAGGAAACTAAACTACGAGCGGCGAAGATTATGTCTGAAGGTGGATGTGAAAACCCTAATGATTCATTACAACCCTATAAGAATCAACAGGTTTATCATCCTGTCATTGCCAGCCTGGGAGAATATAAATGTGTAACGTGTAAATGCGATGTAAGTATTAAAAATTCAAAACTCTTATAGATTATGATGTTAATTTTGATTGTTTGATGTTACAGAAAGGCGTTACAAAATGTGAGCGACCACAATGCACGAGAGAAATGTGCGATAAATCCCGCAAGGCGCGCAGAGTCTGCTGCAAGCGTGATTGCATACGCTATCGACATAAGAACAAGAATCAGCGCGCGAAAGGCATCAGATGATCGAGCGACGCCGTAAATATTCCTTCTTCGATTAAAACACAACGTGTTTGATTCGTTCAACACGTCGCAGCGGCCGGGTGACTGTTTCAATATGGCCGCCCTTGCGCTGTTGGTATTTGTTCGCGGGGGCGCGCGCGGACGCGCTAGCGTATACATTATACACACTACGATATGTTATTGTTTTAAATTATTGAAATCAAACCAAAGAAGACTGATATGTAACGATGTAAATGTAACATTTAACTTAATTACGAGTTAAGCGGACGACACACGCACAGACACAGACCCACACACACACAAACACACACACGGCGAGCAGCATGCGCGATTATTTATTTTTTATATTATGTATATCTTTTATCCAAAATGCCCTAATGTTAACTATTATCTTTTAACTTAACTTTTGGCGGATAATGAGGTGGATGTGTAGGAGGAGGATGAAAATTGGCGGCGATGGTGTTTGTGAACGACACGCGCCGAAATTGTTTATAGTATTTAAACACTTTGTATAAAACGACACTCTCTGTTATTTAAATTGCTAAGTCGGTATATTTGATTGCGGCTCTGCGTCTCTTTATGAAGAGGATCGTATATTGTACATAGGCAAACAAAATCGAAAAATGTTTCATGTATTCTGTATTATTTGTATTTTTTAAATGTCTCTTATTACTTACATTAAATTATAAATCTAAACATTTTAAAATATATTGTTTTCTTTTAAACTTGCGAGAAGTACTCTAAATTATCATTTTATAAAAATGTTTAAAAAAAAACGTAGGAAATGCTTTGTATTTTCTGTCAAATTAAAGTAATTTGAGGTTTCTCACTGTTCAAAAGTAGATAAAGAGGCACTTTACCAGTTGTATACTTTCTTAATATTCAAATACATCATATAAATATAAAAATATTTATTGATTAAAATTACAACGTGATTTTTTGGATTTACAGGTTTTTTTGTTGAGTTTAACATGTTTCGCCCAGAGGGCATCTTCATAAAAAATAACATGGATTACGTATTCACCAAAGAAAGTTATAAAAATACATCATATTTAGCTCTAAAATGCGCTTTAAAATGTCGATTTTAGCTAAATTTCATCTTCACCATTCTTCAAGTTTGTATTGTGGGTTGCCTATAGTCAACTTCAAAACTTAATAAATTTCCAACAAGTACGAATCCAAAGAAGATTCAAACTATAAAACCAAACAAGAACATTCTAAAGAAGTAGTTATTTGTTTATGCAGTTCTGTACAGAGTAAAACATAATATTTTGTTTGAATATGCTCCTATTTCACATTTTCATTGCACTTTTAAGAATATATGCGTTGTAAATCGTCTGCATGCTGCTTGTGCTCGTTTCAACGTTCTGGATGCGGTCGAGTGACGACCAAGCTAGAGATGTGCGATGATGGTGTTCACCTAGTTCGTGTTCGCGCTCGCTCTCACCTGCTGCGCGCGTTCCTGCTGGCCGATGGACGGTCGCAGGTGGGGAATCAAGTTTTGTTTGGTAACCGACTCACTCTGCGCTTAGTTGAGTTGGAAGTGGCGGCGATGCAAACGCGCAGCGCAACAACAACAAATCTATCGGATAACGAAGACCAAAGAAGACATAAAATTGCAATTAAACTCTACAAAACACAGAACAACCAAAAATGTTTAAGCGGATCTTAAACGTTATAAAAATATGTGTAAAATAAAATAAATCCATGAAACTCTGCGGTTTCAATCGAATAACATCAAAGTTTCATATTTTTACTGCGGTTTAATGAAAATGTGATTATAATAAATGCGATGAATAATTTATGTGAAATTAGATAACATGCAATCAATAACGAACGTAATACGGCGATAGTTGAAGTGTGTAGTTTCTTGTAATTAAACTAAATGTGTATTTAAGTGCGTTTGAGTGTGCGTCCAGGTGCGTTTGTACGTTGTAATCGATTACAGTCAAAATTGTGCGCATTGAAGAAAGGAATGCGAAATATATTTTGGATGCGAATGTGAACGAAAGTGAAACCGCCTGCTGCGTTCGAAAGTTCATCGGCGGACGCGCGGCACACGCGCGCAACATGCTGCAGGAATCGTCGCCCGCGGACGACGCGCCAGCGTAACACCCGAAAACTCGCTCGGACACGCCATCACGCGACCACCGAGTCCAAGGCAGCAAGAAGAAAGGTGAAATTTGTTCATACCAAAGAGGTAATAAACAAAAATCGGTTTCGGCGTAATAATTTCGATTCATAACTTGTGAAATGTTAGTAATTTAACGATAAATGCGCAAGAAAGAAAGCATTAATGTATTCTAAACCACAAGGCAACTACTTTTACCGTATAACAATTGATTTGGCAACAAAAAATCAAAAGAAACAGGTTTCCAAAATACTTCAAAACAATTTCGATTGATTCGCGATAAAATTTTAATGTATACAACTCAAATTACATGCGTGTTATACATTTCGATGACGTAAGCATGCGGCGCGGTGTAACGGAAGTACTGGGGAATCTTTTTACAAACATTTGCAAACGCAAATGCATCATTTCGCTGCAACAGAACACTTCATTGAATTTATTCGACTACAATAACGGTATTGTTGGGCAGTGTTTACATATTTTTTATTTTAATGTCATATTAAGTGTATGCAACCCAAAACACATTCATATTTAATGTGAAATGTCGCATATTGAAAAAGAAGTAAAATTCAACAAGACGAAAGTTTTAGCCAATGATTTAAGATGTTGACCTTGAATCTCTGGTCATTTTAAAGATGTAATCATTTCTATACCTAAGTTTTCTAATTATCGGCCATTTTGTACAAAAGAATGAATGACTGCATGGCAGGAACGCGATTACGTATAAAGTCATTACGCGTTCGCGTTTTGATTTTGTTTTATTCCACCGTAGACACAAAGGGAAATTAAAATAATGCGCGAAAGTACCAGCGGCGAAAGAAAGAAATAACAGTCACGAAAAGAGAAAGTGATCGTCACTTCTGTGTCGATTTTTATGAAATTCTGCATGTTTTCGATATTTAGATTAACAATTACTCGAAAATAACTTAAAAATAGCTTCACTTAACTTAAGAATAACAACGCATATACACACACGCACACACGTCATTCACCAATATGACGTGCATAAACAAATCGAAACAAAATGGCGTGTTTATCATCCATTACAGCGCCAAACGTCAAAACATAGCAACAACCATCAATTAAACAATTACACGTTTGCAAACGGCGAGGGAAAAAAGTTTATAAACAATTTGAGAAAAACTTTTATTATTGAACACTGTTTTAGCCTGCAACCTGCGAAAGTGCAAATATTTGTCAAACAAGCCAACCCACGACGTTTTGAACGGAAATGCAGGCCGAGGCGACAAACGATAAACATTTCCAGCAAATGATGCGCTTCACACGCGCAAAATTAATGTTTGTATAAAAATACTCAACAACAAATTCAATTGATGAATAATGGAAGCCATTAAAAACTAAAATGGCCAGGAAGTTGATTGGTACTTAGAATAAACTGGTTGCCTACGTCAAAGTTGATCTATAATTATTCGCGATAAGAAAGCGATTGTGTGCGAACACAATACAATTAAAAATAATGACTTAAGAGAAATGACTTAATTTGTCGCTTGACAGATGGCGCATTCTTAAAGGTGTCGCAATTATTGAAATTACTTGGACGAATAATTAGCAGCTTTAGTCCTTGCCAAGGCCGGTGCGCGAAATTTCCCAATCGTTTTCTGCGGGCGAGCCTTGAGCCGCTTGTATGCTTAAATGGCAGAACACGAATCTTACACGCCTAGAAAAACCTGCAATCACATACGAAGAACTGTGCGCTGTTGCTGCAGCGAGTAAATGAAGTTAAGTCAACATGGCGCTGATGGCGGCCGTGCGAGTGTTAAGTCGCGTTAAGTTTTAAGTGCGCGAGTAGAGAGTATGGCTGCGGCGAGTTGCATCGATGCATTCGCGAGTGCACTCAAATTGTTTATATATTGACTTAAGTCGGTGAGCAACCGCACGCCGGCCAAAAGTAGTTCACCCAGTTTGCAAAGCGTTCGCAGCGAAAGACTCGTAATTATCATAAACGCCAATAAATCGCATTTCGCAAACGAAATTGTATACGTTTATTGAGGCATTATTATCATATGCACCATAAAAAGAGTTGGAAATTCCACACTTTTACCGATCATTATATTTAACCAACTTGATTTTTAACAAATAAAAGTTAAGTACTTTTATTTGTTCGGGGAAAAACCCATTTGTATTTATATTCGTTTTTTTTTTCTTTTTTTGAAAATCGAGTTTGTAATTATCTGGCTTGTACAAAATTGTCATGTAATCATTAACGCGTAAAATGAGACGCATTTTGCACGCTTAGATATAACAAATCGCTAACGAGCAAAACCAAGAAGCCGACACGTAATACTAGTAATTTGTTGAGGTTATCTGCTTCCATGCGTCAACACACGCCATCTGGCGCCTGATATTCTAAACAATTTTGTTTATAAGCTGTATTAAATATCCTACGACTTAGAAAGAATTTACAGAGTATTAATAACAGTTTTAATATGATAATGATAATAAAAAAAATTTAGTTGATTGTGTCATGATTGTCCGATCGTCCGATTGTCCAAGGATGTTTCGCTGCCGCGAAAGCCACGCAAATTGCAAGCAAATTGCAAACAATTACCGGCGAGGTTTGCGTGCGCATTATGATGGTAGGTACTGTGTGCGCACTTTCCATCAAACTATCAAAGTCAATAGAGCTTTATTGTTTTCCGACGTTTCGTTTTGTTCGTCCATCGTTCACTAATCGATGAAAGAGTCGGGAAAAAAACAATCGACTAATCAAACATACAAAAGTATCACGCGATATTGTACACACAGAGAGGAAAAAAACCGGGAAGATGCAATTTTGTTTGGGAGTTGATAATAATTAAACACACGCGAAACGCCATGTGGCACGGTAATTATATTTGCGGATCTTCAATCTGTATTTTTTCGTTTTTAATTATTGCATGTTGCACTAAATTATATGATGGGGAGAGTATGAATTGTGGTCATAATTGTCAAGGGCATTATATGACAATTTTGAGAGTGTGTACGAAAAATGTTTTTTTGTGTGACTTGATATTTTGCTTTAATAATTTTGATTAATAAAAGGTAGAAATTTGTGGAATTGATGGAATTTGAGCAAAGGAAGAGTTTTTAGGGTTTTCTAAGGGCTTTTTAGGCTTGTTGCATGCATTCATGATAGAATAATTAGTTATTTTTACAATGATGAAGTTCAGACTAAGAATATACTGCTAGTTTGCAAGATATAACGATATATTTGATAATGAACAAAAAAATCGAAAATTACAATTGGCAACGTTTTTTCTTATTAAATTAATTATTTCAAATGCAATTTCTAACGTTTCCCAATACTCAAATATTTAATAAAAAAGTAGTTCTAAATGTTTTAGACGCCAATGAACCCAAAAAATTTGATGGCAAGATCCACATCTTATATTTATAGCTTATTTATAACTCAAATTTATTGCCAGAGTTTTTTTACCCTATTTTTTGCATAGTCAACTATCTCCACAACGAATCTTCGGTCTTAAAATTGACTAAACGCTGTTTTGTAACCTAACAATCGATTATTTTATCACTATCTATTACTAGCAACCTATAATAGGCTCATAAATCAATCACAACTTCATTTCTTCAAATTGTTTCATCATTTTCAGTCATTTATTGAACCACCACGAAGAAATTAATGTGTTTCTCGTCATGACAACTCCGCGAATTACAAATCCTCTTCCATTTTAAACGATAAAATGTTTAAATGTTTAAATTAGTTTTTGCACTAAGATAATACTGCAATTTAAATATTTGCATGCGTCAATCAACGCAGTAAAATTATATAAATTATAATCAGATGCGGTGGTAATTATAATTATTGCCTTTTTAGCCGCATTGTTAGGTGCCAATACGTGCCTAATAGGCAAAACATGAACATCATTATAGCCTTTACTAATCATCCGCAATTATCTAGATTCTAAAAATATGTCTAAACATCTATTAGTCAACGTAGACATGTGCATTAGTGGCTGTGAAATTCGTGGAATCGTAAAAATTTACTTAATTAAATTTAAATAAAGTGCTTGGCGATAAATTTAAAGCATCCCAACGCAACATCAAAACGCAATTAATCTAAATTGAATCATTTCAACTATGTAGTAACGTTGTAAAAAATCTTAAGCACGCCAATGAAGAATTAACTAAGATTGTAGTATAAAATCATTGTTTTATGCAACAATGTATCCAACTGCGGAGAGAAACTAAATAGTTAAGTAAAGTTTAGAGCAAAGTCCTCGAGTCGTGTTTGTTTATGCTTATTCTCATTGCAAATGTTATTGTGTGTTGTGTTTGGCTACTGTTGCTGGTTGGAGAGGTGCAGAATGAAAAGGTTAATAGAAAACGTTGACACTTTTAGGTATATGCTACTTTTTATAGTGTGCAAAATAGTATAACATAAAATACAAATAAAATTAGGTTATGAAATATACAAACTTTCATAATTCTTTTACAGATGGCGTTGTAAACGAATAATTTAAACATTTTACAGAAATCTTTTTTAACACAAGCAAAATAAGGTTATGAAATCCTAAAATATTTATTTAATTATTCTATAGATGGCGTTGTAAACAGAAATTTAAAGTTTTTTTACAAAAATATTTTTAAAAAACTTTTTAAACACTTTGTATATTTGTCAATATGAACCAAGCATAAAAAGTGAAATTTTTGGATGATTACTTCTAGGTCAACGCGTCTCCTCTGTCCATTCTTCTTAACTCTTATAATCATCTAAATTTAAAATTTAAATTTAGACCTCGCTTTACATTTATTCTTTGCATTATTATATCCAAACACTTCCGGAACATTTTAACTTCTTTTACTGGTCTTTCCGTATTGTTCTCGCGGTGTAATTTATTTTACATCCCCGGACCGTAAATTATAAACTTAATTCTTTTGTTCATTTTCTTCCGCTTCTGCATTTTCACTTGTCGTTTCTTTTATTCCTTTATTCTTTTATAATCCGAGTAAGGTATCATTGCGCGTCTTTGTATTGTAACATGACCTCGAAAAGCGAGCGAGCCGAGAGGGATGAAAGTGTTTACGAGGGTTGAAACAGGACGCAGGGATGAAAACGTGGGCACGGGAGCAGTGGAACACACTCGTTCCGCTTTCCAGCATGCTCCTGCGCATTGCCCACATCTGACGTCCTTGGAAAGCGCCCGGACGCTTTTCCAGCTTTCCCGATTTTCCAGTCAGTAAACGTATGCCCTCCCGGTCGCTTCAACATCCACTCCGCGGCGAGGTCAGGGTTTCCCGGTCATAAATATTATTATAAATCAAAAAGTTGTAAATGTAAATTAAGTTCCATGCTGTTTATTTAATTATTACGACGGTTATGATCATGAGAATGTGTATGAGTCATCGTAATTGCAGCTACAGTTGCAATCGGAGTGAAGCGCGAAACTGTGCGAAATTAAAATATAAACCGCGATGTAATGTTCCGACAAAAGTAAGCAGAAAAAAAGTTTGCGAATGTTTATAAACATTAACATGTCCATAATGATGTTATTTACAAATATTTATTTTATGCGTAATAATGAGTTCTCATAGTTTAGTTTATTGATTTGTTAAGAGTCTAATTGAGATAATTATTGCTTTGTTTCAGGATTAAGGCATGCCTGCAATCCGCCTGTTCGGCAGGAAGTGGCTGGCCGCCTCGGATGATTTAGTCATACCCGGTTTGTTCGAGATCTTCGTCCGATTACTATGGTAAATCAAATATTTATAGTTTTTATGCATGTTATGCAACTTATGATGCGTTTAATGTATGCAACTTGTGTAACATTTATACATACTGCACTCTATTGCGCATCAAGAAAGATACTCATTTATTAATCAAATTAGATACAATTAATTAATGCTATGTAAACAGTAATTAGAAACGATGATTATTCCTTCATTAATTCAATTATCGTAATTGAAACTTTTGAAAATTTAAAATTTTGTTTTGATTTAGATTTGGTTTTATTTCTGCTTTGAATAAACCATTTTATCGATGTTTTGGTGCAATTGCAGTAAATTGCGTTTTCTTATAAATAATTGCATTGCGTGGCCGGGGTTTATCACGCATTGTTGCGTATTGTATTCGCAATTAAAATCGCATACTGTTGAATAACGATATCGGTGCGATTAATTACTTTTCAGACACGTATTTTGCACAGGTTTCCAATTACGATCGTAATTAGCGCAATTTAACCGACGTCGCAATTGAGCTCATTAAGTTTTCTGGAACAGTGTTGATTTATAAACAACTTTTCAAATCACACAACTATTAGAAATGTGATTTACGATTTCACTCCTTGAAACTTTACCTGTTTATAAACACAAATAACAATTGTTTATAGTTTACAGTAGATAAAGTCTTGTGTTATTCAATTACACATTTTTGATTGTTTAAGGCTAATATTAATAGCGATAGTCTACACGAAATACTACGAGAACACATGGGAATGCGCCGCTGGCGGCGAATATGTCCGGACGTACATAATTGGCATGATGTCGCTGTTAAGCGCGGTTATCCTCGTCCTGGTGGCGTTGGTCAACCGCAGCGCGCAAGGATCCATCACCGACACAGACGCCCGCCGTCATGTACCGCCAATACTCATCGTCAAACTATTCCTGATTGTACCTGAATGTGTCCTGAATGTCTTCGGCACTATGTGGGCATTCTGTCGAGATGTCGTCGTGTGTCCCTATGAGGGACATTTTTCACGCACTGTCATTGAAGGTAAGAAGCGTTTTTAATTTTTTTTTGTGTATCTGCTTCCGGAATTCACATTATAACCTAATTTGATTATTATACTGATTGAAAAAGTTGTTATAACATACATGGCCTTGAATTTAGCAATAACATTTTGTCGTTTTGTCGTGTCAAGCGAAGAGAAGCACACAGATAAAAAAAAACGAAACAATCAAAATGTCTGAGATCGTTTCGCTTTGACGCTTGTGGTTGATTTTGATTTTTTGACGGTCACGCCGTATGAGTTACCGCGTGCATAGCACAATCAATCTTAATTTGAGGTCAAAGATTTGTCCTGCGACTAATTCGCATAGAAATGACCGAAAAGTTAAAAGAAATCCTAGTGAATCGAAAGAAACAGCGCGGAACAATGCTAAACACCAGTTCAGGAAATGAATTCAATAGAAATCGTAACCAGACTAGCATTAGTAGAAGGAAAAAACGTTAACGATCGAATATTCAATGACGCAGCGTTATTACCTATTGAAGACGCGGACTGAACATGAATAAAAATGAATAATCAATTACATAAATCGAATAAAATTCAAATATTTGTTTAATAAAGTGATTATTACGGTAACTTAGCATTTCCTTAATTAATTTCTGTAATTAATTAATTTGGTGTGATTTTAAGGAAAATTTGCAATTATTAGCGATTGATTTGAGTGAATTTACATTGTTTTTGTGCCGAGTCACAAATAAAACGCGTGTGTTGTTTGCACAATGCTGTGTTTAATTAAAACCCGATAATTCAATAACAGAAAATTCGCCGACATCATGACCATCGCAAGTTTTATATTTGCGGTCGTCAAACAGGAAACTGCATCACATTTCGCCTCGCTGCATCACCGCCTTGCAATCATTACATCACAACATTTAATTAAACATGCATACATTGCATTTATACCATATGTTTCTATTTAAAAAAATCACAAAAAATAGTTTTCTACGAAATTTTTTAAATTTTATTTTGTTTTAAGTAAAAATAGAAGTTTTTTCTAAGAAATTTTTATTGGATTTGGTTTATAGCAAGCTGTCAGATTGCAAAAGATTAAAAATGTTATTTTTATATTGTTTATAAAACATCAATAAGTGAGGAAAATTTAATATTAATACTAACATATAGTTAATGAGAAAATGATTCAACATATTGAAATAGTTAAAACGTATTTTGATTTATTTTATTACAGAGTTACATAAATATAAATCAAATAATTTAAATTTTGAGTCATACATTTTAAATTTATGTGCGTATGATTTCAATATATTTTTCTATTTTTTTCGCACTTTATTGTGCGAAATAATGTGCTAAAGGTCATTTTTATTACTTATTATCTTTAACAACGTAATAAAAGAACCACTTATTTTTTTTTTTTAAGGAATGGTCGTTTTTAACTGGGCATTATTTGGTCTGGCCATTTTTGGCTTAGCCCTAATCTTCGACCCTCTTGGTTCTCGGCGGTATCAAGACGCACAAGAAACGCCCTCCGCTGGAGAATCTCTCCGCCACAAAAAAGTCACATCCCTGTGGCAAAAACGCTTCCGCTGGCTGTTTTGCTGGGTGCGCAGCGACGAGCACGGCCACGAGGCGTTCCAACAAGTTGCCGCGTTGCTAAGCGCCCTCTTCCGCAGTACGGATCTCGTCCCCTCGGACATCCTTGCCGGATGCGTGCTGTTGCGCGTCAAACAAAAACGCGAAACGCGTGAAAAACGCCGACTGCAGATGCTCACCGATGACGAGCCGAAATACTCCACTGACCTGAATAGAGTATTCACTGTTGCTCCGAAATGGATGAATTTGGAGCACGCGCGCCATTTTCTGAGACTATCAATGGCTGCCTACGGGTGGCCCTTTGTCATGTACAGATATTGCGCGACAGGGTTTTTTAGACTCATGACCAAAGTCACGTGTTGCTCGTGCTTCCGGCGGAAGAGCACCGTTGTGATTGAGGATAACTGTTGTCTTTGTCATCTGGCAGGAGTGAAGTACGTCTCGAAGATTAGAGAAGAGGATATTCTGTTTGCATCGTTCCGGAATCATATTTTTGAAGTAAGCAAACATAAAATATTCAAAATTTTATATTTTATTAATAAATTTATTTTCAGTTGCCATTTTGTGTAATTGCCGATCACAAAACATCCAATATCGTCATTGCAATTCGTGGCTCAATATCCTTAAGGGATGTTTTTACCGATTTGACAGCTACAGCTGATAAATTTGAAGCTGAAGGATTTCCGGCCATGATGGCGCATAAAGGCATGATTGTAGGAGCAGAGTTTATTGCCAAACGCCTGCGGCAAGTTGGAATTTTAAACAAAGCATTGGCAAAATATCCAGAATATGGGCTAATTATCACTGGACACAGTTTAGGAGCTGGGGTTGCAGCATTGCTCGCAATTAAAATCCGCCCTTTATATCCGGAAGTTAAAGTCTATGCTTTTGCAACGCCAGGTAAACACAAAACATTTATGTGTGTATGTTTATATTAAATTTATAATTGTGTTTATGTTTAGCTGGAGTTCTCAACCGTGACGCTGCGAAACTCACAGAAAGTTTCATCTTTACTGTTGGAGTTGGTGACGACTTTGTTATGCGTTTGGGAGTTGACAGCGCCGAAAATATTCGGACGGGGATTATACAAACGTTACATGCTAGTCGATTACCTAAAGTAAGTATTAAAAAACTTATTTTTTAGAATAAATTTCATAATTTTTTTATGTTTAGTATCGAATATTGCTCAATGGTTGTGGATACGCACTCTTTGGAGTTCCTCCAGGTGATTTAGAAACAACATGGCGGGATGATGCAGTTTTATCCTCTCCGGGGTTATCACCTCTCTTAGGACGCAATAATATTTCAACTATTGCAGCTACAACTGAAGCAAATTTTCTTTCAAGTGACATTTCAGTGCGGCGGTTTTCCAAAACCAGGCTGTACACACCTGGAAGAATTCTGCATATTGTCAGTCGAAAGAAAACAAGACAAGAACGGTTAGCACTAATAAATTTTATTTACTTAGATTTTTATGTTGTTTTTATATTTTTAGGAAAGCAGGCACTGGTGGCCCAACTTATGAAATGCGATGGGCAACGCCCGAAGACTTTATGGATTTGAAGGTGATGCCACGAATGTTGCTGGATCACCTTCCCGAAAATATCTACCAGACAATCGACACCATCCTACGGGAACAACGAGATGATTCTAGTGAAATCATCTAGATGTAGATTCTATTTTTTTGCTAGTGCTAGATACAAGGAACAAATCTAACAATACTAGGCTAGAATTGACCTATCTACAATATTGAATACAGAAACATATTTTTTATGTGTATTTTCTGGATGTATCAAGGAATTTCTTAAATTTTTTGAACGTGGATGAATCTCTAAAGTGAAACTCGAAAGCAATTTTGAATTTGATGTTATTTGCTCAAATTTACAACAACTTACTTACTTAAATGATGATCAAATTTTAGACTTTGTGCATTTTGTGTGCATTTATTAGTTTTTACACTCCAAATATCGTATGATTCCGACCGGGTTGGACCTCATCGAATCAAATATAAACCTGTGATTTTCTTTTTAGAAAAGCAGTCTCGAGGGTGTGCTTTCAAATTGTATGGCGATTTGATGTGACTTAAGAGTAGATAGACGAATGGACGTCCTCGAACCAACAGATGATAATCTATTTTAGTCTACGATATTTATAAAAATAATCTAAAACACATACGTAAGGAAATCTACGTGTATTTTATTGACATTGAAGATATTGAATGTACTTATTGTGTATAGTGTAACTAATTGTCTGTATATTTTTTTAAAAATCGATTTAGATCTATGATTAAGTGTTTTATTTGGACGATTAAAACAATTATCACCAATCATCAAATTTACTGCTAAAACTTGTTTATTTTTTGAGTCAAAAAATAGTCAGAGGTACCAATATCAATAATTCTATAAAATAAGCTAAGATGGCGTTAGAATGCACAAATTTGCATTAAATTCTAAGCGTATTTATCGTGGCCAGTTGTTTGTAAGTGGTAGTGAGTGTCCGTGTAAGATCGCACGAATTGGTGCAGCAGGTTTTGTTTTTATCTGTTGTATTTGTTTTGTTTACGTCCTTGAGCCGCTGCATCGTTGGAACTCACGCGCTGCATGAAACTTAAGTGTCTTGCATTTGCGCAGTCGCGAATGTCGTATCACCGGCGCTGGAATGTACCTGAGTCGAGTAGAAATACGGGCATGTGCTGTGGTCGGTTACTCTGTTTATTTCTTTCGCGAGTTGCCATGTTCCGCTAGCGACTAATTCGGTGAATCGAGTTATATTCAATCGCGAATCAACGCCGTGTAATAAAAACAATTGTGTTGTGTTACTGACGATTTATAATGTGTGCAGTGTTTGAAATCGTGAAATTATTCTCTGTCGGCTGTTGGATGGCATCGATCACAAAGGCTATGTCACGCGAACGTGTTACCTTGTAAGTAGAAATGCTTATCATTGATTTTATATAAATCATGTTTGGCAAGTTTATATCGGACGTTATTTGAAATGTAGTGACAACAAACAAATATACAGTGTTTCTTGTTATCTTCGTCTCCTATTTGTGCGATGCTTCGTAGCTTGCCGCAAGCCACTTCATTCTGTACTATAATAACGTTCTTCAAGTATGCCAAAAACTCATGCCGATAAGTGTCGTAAATATCGGCAGAAAAATATTAAATAACTTTTACACTTGGTTTCAATATAATAATAAATAAAATCTATAATTATTCCACTCCTGACACTACTACTAAATTTCTATCTGCTAAAGAATTTTCCAATCTTTCATAATCTACAATATTGGTAATTATTGGTAGGTAAATGACGACTGAGCGATTAATTGTTTTTCACACTCACATATACACACACGCATGCACGTAATCAAGAGCGGCCCGTTAGTGCGTATGTATGTAAAGGAAACAACTTAGTACTACCCGATATGAATATTGTTTATTGTACAAAAAATTAAATGAATCATTTAAATACTGGGTTGTTTCGTGTATGACTTTTGTTGTTTTCAATTTCATTGCATATTTGATAAATGTGTTTTGAATATTTTCAAGTTAATAAATATTTTCAAAGGTTAGATGGCGCTACGATGTACGATTTTGCATTAAATATTGCTTGTTGGTAGTAGTGAGAGCACACCGTGTCCGTGTGCGATCACGCGATTTCGCGCAAGAGATAAGTTTGTTTACCTGCAGGTATCGAATCTTTATTTCGTGGAATCAAAACACACCGATGCTGTTTATTATATTAGCATCGTAACTTAAGCAAATATTCTTCAATTCTTTCATGAATATATTCAAGATTACGGACTAATGTGTTACCTGGTAAAGGAGAACCGATGCATGTTTAAATTAAATATCACTTAAATATTTAATGTAAAATTTGGCAATCTGTGAGCATAAGAAATCAGAATTACTCAAATCGAATTTTAATTTTTTATTACCTTTACTAATCTAAATTTCGAAACTACTGCATCATTTATAGATGGCAATAGCATGGACTAAAAATTGTAAAATAACTTGTATTGTTTATTTCTATATTTATCAGCAAGCGTGAACCTTCGACACAAGAATTGTGTTTGGTTGAATACAATATATAATTTCTTATCGCATTGCCGTGTGTCGTCGTTGCCAACACCTCACGCCGTATGTTGCTGCATCTTAGTTTAGTTTTGATCCCAGGTAAAGTGCTAAATGCAATTCGCGCACATGACCGCGTGCCATCGACACGCCGGCCTTGCGCACCTCTTGCTATCTTATCATATACTGCCTCGTCGTTGCTTATGCAGTTTGCGGCCAGTTTTGCGCTCTGGTTGATTCAGACGTATTTTGTGCGACTCGTATCGTTTATCCGGACTTCTACTTTCCAATTCGTATTATATTCGTATCATGAATCGACTATTTAATTTTAACTTGACTTTAGTAACTTTAGTACAGTATCGCGGCCATGTTGATTTATTCATCATTTGGATGCCCCATCGTGCTGCTGTAAGTTAACTAAACAGCACAGATTGTTTGTTTTTCTTCGCTGTGTGATTATAATATTACTTACTAGCGACTTCGCACGAAAGTAAAAAAACCGCATCAAAATCCGTTGCGTAGTTTCAATGATTTAAGCATACAAAGTGACAGACAGAGCAAGCGACTTTCCTTCTCCAAACAAAAACATCAACCGGTCAACTTCAACCCACACGTACACACATACACACGTCTATGCTTGGAGGGGGAAGCTACGAAGCATCGCACAAAGAGCAGACGGGAATAATCGAAAACTTTGTATTTACATCACATTAGAAACCTCAAAAATAACAGAACTTCTCCACTATTTAATGGATGTTATTATTATACATACAAACCTTCCTCTTGAATCACTCTATCTATTAAAAAAACGGCATCAAAATCAGTTGCGTAGTTTCAAAGATTTAAGAATACAAAGGGACCGGAAAAAAAGCGACTTTACTTTATACTATGTAGTGATGATGCTTTCTTTTTTTATTTACAGTATTTGTCGTGCCTTAAAGTCGGATGCGTTCTGCTTTGGTAAGTTTATAATTCAATTATATATTTCGTTTTATTTTCTGCGTCCATCATTACTTTGCATTTACGTGTTTTTTTTTTCGTCGCGGTCCAGCGCCTTCTTCTAAAGCGTTAGCATTAAATAATTTAATTATTTTTTGTTATTGGGAGTAATTAATTAAATTCTCTATCCGGTTGTATTTAATTCTGAGAAGGAAAGCGCTTATACGATACGAATTATGATTTAATGTTTGAAACAAACTTGTAAAACGATAAACCTATTTATCTCTTTTAGTTTACGAGATATTCGCGATTGAATAAAATAGGCAAAATTTGAAAAATGTCACTTTTTAGCATTTTTAGTCGTGTTTTTCGACCTTTTACTATAGGAAATATATTGATTTTATATTTTTATCTGATAGAGAATTTTCCAGTCTTTCATAATCAGCAATTTGTTGGTTGCTATCGCTTTTAGTTTAAGAGATATTAATTATCAAAAATCGTCAAAAAAAGTATCAACCACCCCCCCTTGGCAATTTTTTCTTAAGAATGAAAATTTAATCTCTCAGATTTCCGTTTTAACAATTCTATCTTATATAAATTAGTCCGTTGATTAAGATGCTGCGATCAGATCTTAATTATCTCTTTTAGTTTACGAGATATTCGCGATTGAAGAAAATCATTAAAAATTGCAAAATGTCACTTTTAGCACTTTTAGTCGCGTTTTTGACCTTTTACTGTAGGAAATATAATTATATTTATATTTTTATCTGATAGAGAATTTTCCAATCTTTCATAATCAACAATTCGTTGGTAGCTATCTCTTTTAGTTTAGGAGATATGAATTTTTGAAAATCGTCGAAAAAAAGTATCAAGCACCCCCCCCTTGGCAATTTTTTCTTAAGACTTAAAATTTCATCTCTCAGATTTCCGTGTTAACTATCCTATCTTATAGAAAATAGTCCGTAGATTAAGATGCTGCGATCAGATCTTAATTATCTCTTTTAGTTTAGGAGATAATTGAGATTGAAGAAAATCATTAAAAACTGCAAAATGTCACTTTTTAGCACTTTTAGTGGCGTTTTTCGACCTTTTACTGTAGGAAATATAATTATATTATATTTTTATCTGATAGAGCATTTTCCAATCTTTCATAATCAACAACTCGTTGGTAGCTATCTCTTTTAGTTTAGGAGATATGAATTTTTGAAAATCGTCGAAAAAAAGTATCAAGCACCCCCCCCTTGGCAATTTTTTCTTAAGACTTAAAATTTCATCTCTCAGATTTCCCTTTTAACTATCCTATCTGATAGAGCTTGGTCTGTAGATTAAGATGCTGCGATCAGATCTTAATTATCTCTTTTAGTTTAGGAGATAATCGAGATTGAAGAAAATCATTAAAAATTGCAAAATGTCACTTTTTAGCACTTTTAGTGACGTTTTATGACCTTTAACTGTTGAAAGTATAATTATTTTATATTTTTATCTGATAGAGCATTTTCCAATCTTTCATAATCAACAACTCGTTGGTAGCTATCTCTTTTAGTTTAGGAGATATGAATTTTTGAAAATCGTCGAAAAAAAGTATCAAGCACCCCCCCTTGGCAATTTTTTCTTAAGACTTAAAATTTCATCTCTCAGATTTCCCTTTTAACTATCCTATCTGATAGAGATTGGTCCGTAGATTAAGACGCTGCGATCAGATCCTATTTATCTCTTTTAGTTTACGAGATATTCGCGATTGAAGAAAATGGGCAAAAATTGCAAAATGTCACTTTTTAGCACTTTTAGTGGCGTTTTTTGACCTTTTACTGTAGGAAATATAATTATATTATATTTTTATCTGATAGAGCATTTTCCAATCTTTCATAATCAGCTATTCGTTGGTAGCTATCTCTTTTAGTTTAGGAGATATAAATTTTTGAAAATCGTCGAAAAAAAGTATCAAGCACCCCCCCTTGGCATTTTTTTCTTAAGACTTAAAATTTCATCTCTCAGATTTCCCTTTTAACTATCCTATCTGATAGAGCTTGGTCTGTAGATTAAGATGCTGCGATCAGATCTTAATTATCTCTTTTAGTTTAGGAGATAATCGAGATTGAAGAAAATCATTAAAAATTGCAAAATGTCACTTTTTAGCACTTTTAGTGGCGTTTTTTGACCTTTTACTGTAGGAAATATAATTATATTATATTTTTATCTGATAGAGCATTTTCCAATCTTTCATAATCAACAACTCGTTGGTAGCTATCTCTTTTAGTTTAGGAGATATGAATTTTTGAAAATCGTCGAAAAAAAGTATCAAGCACCCCCCCTTGGCAATTTTTTCTTAAGACTTAAAATTTCATCTCTCAGATTTCCCTTTTAACTATCCTATCTGATAGAGATTGGTCCGTAGATTAAGACGCTGCGATCAGATCCTATTTATCTCTTTTAGTTTACGAGATATTCGCGATTGAAGAAAATGGGCAAAAATTGCAAAATGTCACTTTTTAGCACTTTTAGTCGCGTTTTTCGACCTTTTACTGTAGGAAATATAATTATATTATATTTTTATCTGATAGAGAATCTTCCAATCTTTCATAATCAGCTATTCGTTGGTAGCTATCTCTTTTAGTTTAGGAGATATGAATTTTTGAAAATCGTCGAAAAAAAGTATCAAGCACCCCCCCTTGGCACTATCCTATCTTATAGAAAATAGTCCGTAGATTAAGACGCTGCGATCAGATCTTAATTATCTCTTAGTTTACGAGATATTCGCGTTTGAATAAAACGGGCAAAAATTGAAAAATGTGTAGGTAATATAATTATTTTATATTTTTATCTGATCACAGTATATATTATTTAGTATTGTGTTAAAAGCACAGATTGTTCATTTCTAACATAATTCAAATGTGTGAAATATATTTGTTTTAATTAATGTTTTCGTTTAGTTTCAGCATTTGTTGTGCCTGGCAGTCCGATAAGCTGTACACTGGTACGTTTATAATTCATTCATATTTTTCACTTATTTAATTCTGTCTCTCTCTGTGTTAAAATTTATTGCAAGAAAATTCCGTAACGCGAGTTGTATTGAAAGTTGATATAACACGCGAACGTGGTGTCACAATAAGTTCGGATTTATTTTCCCAGATGCAGAATTTAATTCTGTATCTCCCTGTATTGAAATTTATTGCGAGAAAATTCCGTAACGCGAGTTATATTGAAAGTTGTGTGTATACGCACTTGTACTCGTTGCGCTAGGAATTGTAGTTTTTTTTAGCATAAAACGTGAACGCGGTGTCATTATAAGGTCGGTATAATTTGCCCAGATGCAGAATTTAATTCTGTATCTCTCTGTATTGAAATTTATTACGAGAAATATCCGTAACGCGAGTTATTGAAAGTTGTGTGTGTGTGTCGTAGTACTTGTTATGTATATTAAGAATTAGGGGTAGAAGTGACTCGTGTTCAGGGTATCGTATGGAGATAGCGGTAGAAGTGACTCGTGTTCAGGGCACCGTACGAGGCTAGCGGTAAAAGTGACTCGTGTTTAGGGCACCCTACGAAGGTAGCGGTTGAAGTGACTCGTGTTCAGGGCACCCTACGAAGGTAGCGGTTGAAGTGACTCGTGTTTAGGGCCCCCTACGAAGGTATACTTATTGTGCCTATTTTAATACTTTCTTTTATAGAGATTACTAGTCGCGGTGTTGTAAACATCAATTATTTAATTAACTAAAATATACAGTATACTTATTCGAAGACAATTACAAAATAATAAATTATTTATTTGTATTGGTACATTACAATTTCCTGTTTATCTTTATTCTTATTGCGTCACAAAACCAATATATTCTTTTCTTATGCCGAGAAATATTGAAAGTAAAAGTAGATTTCGTACCTATATTGTGAATTTTTACTTTCGTCTTCTCAACTACGTGTTTACCACTACGTTTGTGTATAAACAACTTTTTTGTTCGACTGACACTACGTACGCTATCGCTTATCGCTACGTACCTGCCTTGTACCTGGTTTCGCGCAGCGCACACGGCAGTCGATTCACCGCGTGGTCCGCGAACGCGTGTCTTTAATCGCCACGCATTTTCAGACTTAAATTATTCAATTAATCATCGTGTATTCTTTTCGTCATCAGCAAAATATTCGAAACGAGCATGTGTGCCTGCTTTGTTTGATGAGTTGTGGCGGTTAGACTGTTCTTAAGTGAGAAATAAGTGTCCGTTAATCTCTGCGCGAGTTTTCAGTTAATCAGATTTATTTCTGGGTCTAAAATTTTTTCATCAATGCACTGGTAGGTGTTTAATCACTTTTTTTCGCGGAAAGTTAAGACGGTTTAACTTAAATTGATTATTTCATTTGAGGGATATTAATTTTGCAGATTACAAACACATGGTAGCATTTTTATCAAAATTCTTAGTCCTGTTTCCGAAAATAACATGCATAATTTAATTATTACAAACACTGTCTTAAAAAGTATCTGAGGATTATTAAAATGACAATATTCATGTGGTCGACCACGCTCACTTTGCCGTCAACCGTCGGGTCGTTCCTCTTTTTGCTGAACGTAATCGAATTACACTCCTTATCATCATTAAATTAAAAAGTTTCTTGTTGATCTAATAAAATCTTTTACTTTGCTTAATATTTGCAAGTAAATAGTTATTTTTATCGTATTTACATACGCTTGCCGTCTGCTGATTTGGATGTTTTTCGCCTGATGTTCTATCAATTTATGATGATGCTTCACCCGTTGATTACCTTATGCAGTTGATGCTATCAACTGATAAATATATACACAATATATTAAAGTATAAGTGTTTTATTCTTGTAGCAACTTTTTTACTTAACTTTTCCGATGAATTTCGTGTAAAATCTTTGAATTTATGTTAAAATATAGTTGTTTCGGTATAAATTTCTCTCGTCATGATGTGAATGTTGATCATATTTGTAGTTTTTAAAATTTTCTTTTTGTATCATCCTGTATATATGTTTTCCTAACAGTACTTTAGTAAATAGCCTTTATTTGTGAGTTTTGAGTGTTCTTTGTTTTAAACTTGGGATTATCCTTCTGGAACACTCTGTATATTTGCTTTTCTTTGTATCCGTGAAAACTTTCTTTCGTTGTGGTTTTAGAGATTTTTTTTGCACTTTAAGTTTTTTTGTAATACCCTGTTTAATAGTTTCCCGGAGCACCGGGTGGAAATGAGCAATATTTGTAGTGTTTAGATGTTTTCCTTTTTGATGGTTGAATTTTCTATTTGTGACACCTTGTATAATAGTTATCCTTCACATCCCTGAAAATTTTGTTTTGACTGTTATTAGAATTTAACTTCTTGCACTTTGAATTTACTTTTTGTAACGCCCTGTATATTTGTTTCCCAGAGTAACCGTGAAAACCAGCGATATTTGAGTGTTTAGATGTTTTCCTGTCTGCACTTAATTTTCTTTTGTAACACCCTGTATATTTTTTTCCATTTTCAATCACGAAGAAAATTGACTTTGCTAATTGCTTTATCCCGCTAGAACTTTACTAAGTGGTACGCGCTTGCTTGCGCGGCTATGCAGGTCGTAAGTCCCGGCTCAATATGGCGGCATGTATTTTGTTGACTTGTAAAATCTAAACTTGTATTCTATTGTTAATAAATGAATAGTAAGATATATTGACTTCTTTGATTTGTGTACCTCTTCTATCATTTCAGGAACAGGTCTCTAAGAGAATTCCCTCTCTCAGGGGATGATCCCCACTATAAAAATGGTTAAGGTATCCTGTGTGATTTGTGTGCTCCTTCTTTCATTTCAGCTACAGGTCAGAATTTGTAAGAATATTTTTAAGTGTCACCTCTCTTGAGGCGACTTAAAAATTAGAAATATTTTTACAAGACTTTATAAGGATTGTCCTTATAAGGAGTTCCCTCTCTCTGGGGGTGATCCCCCACCATAAAAATTGTTAATATGCCTGATAATTCCGGGGATGAAGCGCAGAGACATCGTAGCTGTAGGTTGGGCCGGGAGCAATGGAGGCATCGAAGCAGTGGGCCTGTGACTGTCTTATAACGACACGTGCCAAAAAATTTAAAAATCTGATCCACTCCTGTTGGAGAAGAAAGTCTTCTACTTTTCTCTGCTGTCCCTTCTTCTACTTCTCCTATTTCTTCTCTGTTCTCCGTTTCTCAACTTACTTTCTTACTTCTCTTATTGCCTTCACTTGTATTTCAATTTCTCTTATATTTCGTTGCAATTCATATATGCAACCCAAATTACACCTGATATTTTGATATTTGAGAAAAATGCCTTCCACACCTGAGATTCGATCCGTGTCTGCTAGCATGCCAGCAGGTGCACGTCTCCACTCGACCACCGAGTGTTTTTATTATTGTTATTTGATTCTTCTATATATGTTTCTGTTTTTTATCATGTTTTTAAAAACAACAACACAATTCAAGCAACAGCAATGCACGGCACACGCTTCACGCACATAAGATTTATATACTATATGACTTAAGACACCGATACTGAAAACAGCAAGGTGGGTGCCACAAAGAAAAAGAATTAGTTTATAACATTACAATGTGTTTTATTGACAACATTGAAAATAAATATATCTTTCAAATAAAAAATAAAACATTGACAAATCTCAAATCTCGTAGCAGCAAAGACTTACCAAAAATATGCGCATCACAAAACTAAATCATGATTAGCATAAAGAATTACAATACTTACAATTTGGTGCAAGAACGACTCTCCTGCAAGAGCTCGTTCAATTTCTAGAGCAGTAAAACAAATAAAAATCAGTTCGAAATACAAAAATGGAATTTTTTTGACTTCCGCGTATGAAAATCACAAAACTAAGTCATAAATAGCATAAATAATTACAATACTTACGATTTCATGAAAGAAAGACTCTTCTACAAAGTCTCGCAGTGAGTAAAATACTATTCCGACAGAAGCTTGGGTTTGCGTAAAAGCTTATCGTTAAACGGCAACACTAGCACTATTCAAGTCTATATATTAAATTAACCCAAAAACGGAAATATTGAATAAAACTAAATACACAACGAGTGTTGTGTACTCGCCAGCGATCAGGACCAAACTAGTTTCAAAACATGTGCGCTGTTGTTTACATAGTACGAAATACTAATATGCGCCTACTGATGCAAACATTTTAAAATAGACATGGCTATTGGTAATTTGATGGCAATATATGTTACAATATTGTTTTCCAACAACTACTCACGTTTATAGACTATTCCAGGTAGGACTAAACCCAATGCTAACAAAACACGTTTAAATTTTTCATAGATCAAGAGCAGTACCAGAAATAAGTATCAATTAGCAGTAATTATGTTTATTTTTATTAGAATCGAAGAGAATAATAATCATTTCAGTTACTGATATATCCAAATATCAATAGCAATACCGCTTGATATCTCATATCGACAAAAATCATAAAATCGTTTTATTCTTCATTTATAAACAAGCATGATTTCATATCTCTTCCCGTACTTTCGTTCGCTTTGCCACTAATAAATTTTACACTAAAATTGCAATCCCGCAGCAGGTTTTAAATCAATGTCTGTCGCTTAGTGTCGTCCGTCGTACAACTATAATTACAAAATTAAACAAATTACACTTGCGTTCCGTTCATCAAATATAAATTACTTATGCATACAAACAAACTAAACAGTTAGGGGGAACGGGTAGTATTCGCTTAATGGTAATATTAAACTGTTTATTTAATGCCGTGCGTGAAAACTTTCAAACTAAATGTTTACCTAAGACGCTCCTCGAGAAAGAAACTCAATGGAAGAGCGAGCGTGTCAGCGGTTCGTTTACAAAATCAAGAAGCAAATTAATTAAAAGTTCGTCGAATCAAACAAAAAATAAAAGTTACAAACAAATATATCACAATACATATTAGGTGAATATACGGTCGCGCGAAATGGTGCATTTCCGCTTTACGATAGCGACTCAACCGCCATCTTAAAGCCTACACGTTTGACAAAGATGGCAGCCAAACGCAGCGAGCAACACGACGCTTGCACAGCAGTCAAGCGTGTCCTCGCCGTGCGTTTGACGCCAAACAAAATCCAAACGAATCGAAATTCTCACTTAACCATCGAATTTAAATAGAATTGTTTAAACTCAAATTTACAACCAAGGGTAGGTTGCATCAGAGGAAAGCAAAAGAGGTAATTACAAGACGCCCACCCTCGATAAATAGAAATCATTATAAATATTACTTAAAATATAAATTAAAAATTGTCTAAGTAACCTTTTTCTTGCTTCAAGTATGTTCTTCTCATATTGTAGTTTTAAATTACTGAATAGATGATAAAAGCATTGCGTGTTTCTGGTGTCTCATTGAACCATGTCGTGTGAGTTTGTGAAAATGAACATTTGCTACGATAAAACATTTATACAAATACTTTTTTCCATTTTTTTGTTAAGTAACTAAAAATTAGTACCATGGTGTTTCTTTATAGATAGCGCTCGCGCATCGTGTAGATTAATACTATTTGCACACAAATCTTTCCAAACCGTCTCCGAATCTCTTCAAAATTGTTTTACAAAATGTTAGAAAAATAATCCGGAAAATAATGCCTACTAATTTCTTTCTCATAGATTTTTTTACTCTTCGTTCTCCCACGCGTTTTCCTATTATTTGTGTCAATTTCTTTATTTTGAACAACGAATGCGGACTTAGATGCGTTTACGTTTTCTTATCTGTCGCAGCACGTCTTGCAGCATAGTGATTATCATAAATTAGTGCATCTTACATGCTAAAGCCGTTTTTATGTTTTTTTTTTTTGCAAGTTTTTCTCAAGCACACGAGACACGAGTTATTTTTATTTTTCCGTACAAATCATAAATCGGGTAATAAGATCCTCCCTTTGCTGAACGTCGTTAAATAATTGATTGCAGATGCGCTGATGCGAATGCTTTTGTTTCTTTGTTTATTTGGTGTGTTGGGTTGGTTGCGTAAATGTTACTAGCACCTCGGAGCAGGAGCACTCATTCAACTTTCATCTAAAACAAAAGTACACAAATAAAACAATAGAAACACACAAATATAATTTCATTGCGGACAGAAAATAGTTGAAAATTCATCACAGCCATTTTAAAACGTAAAATTTCTTCTAATTTACTCTTTGAAACGCTAAAAATAGGTTATGTTAACCTATATAATATCAATATGGCCACCGAAACAGTTAAAATAAAGCACCTTAATAAAAATTACCTCTGCTAATGACGGACTTGCGTTTGTTATCGTCCGGTGTGGAGCGTTGCATCGGTGCACCGCCTCCACCACGAATCGCCGTTTGTCCGCCGCCGCTAATGACAGGATGATGCTGCTGTCCAGCCCGAATCGGCTTTGCAATCTGCGGCACCGGTCCGCGACGCGCCAAGTTCTTCTGTCTCACAGCCTCCTTGATTCTATCCACCTCAAATTGGTACCTAAAGAGAAAAATATTTTAAATTTGTCTTTACTCAAAGAATGAACTCATTCTCACCGTTTGCGATCACGCATAGCACCCTCCTTGGCATCTTTCAACGCCGACTCCAATGCCTTGACTCTTTCCATCGTTGCACGAAGACGTTTCTCCAACTTCGGCAGTTCACAACGCAAGTCGGCGTTATCACGCACCAACTGCTTGTGCACCTTAGTCAACTGATCCAGGTTGTTCTCCAAGAACGAAATCTTCTGTTTCTGCGCCAGGGAGCCGCCATCTTCGTCGGTGTCGTCGCTTGCGATTGCCTTCTTAATACGAGCCTATAAAAAAATAATTAAATGTAGAAATGAAATTAATATAAATAAAATTTAATAATTCTACCTGAAGATCTTGAACGAATAGCTTCCTCAGGTTGTGCAAAGTCTGCAACTCCTTGGCGACGGTGTCCTCCAGCCCTTTGAGGTCCTTGCGTGCCTGCTCGCGTCTTTCGTTCGTCGAACTGCATACAATTGTAACACGTTTTTGATTGGCTCATAATTATCGCTTTCGATTAAGCCACGATCACACACATTTCGTTTGAGCGCTCTGTTTTGCTTTGTGGGTTTGAGTTTGAAACATATTGGAAATTTCTTTGTTCGTTCATACCCGATTGATTAAGCCGATATTGGAGAAATTTGATTAAGATCCAACGCGTTATTGATTAGTTATGTACACACCTATCACTGGGCCACATTCAACAATATAACAATTACAGAAAAATAGATTTTCTCACGTTTCCCGTAAAATAATCAACAGTTTTCAATTTTTGCCTACTCCATAAGCCTATTTATGTACAAATATTGTACAATCATCTAACCGACTAGGTTCTTTTCTCGAAAATATTGCTCTAACAGTAAATTTAAAACGATTTTGTACAATTTGTACAAGTTTTGTTACCGTATATGTACAAATGACCCGATTTTTGTGTTGTGTTGGTCGGATCAACGCCATTTTTGATTTATCGACGCGAGACGCCATCACGGACGCACGCACGAGAAACAAAACAAAAACAGAGAGAGCTTGTGTGATGTGACTTAATAACGAAATTGCTTAATAAAAACTTAAAACTAATTCAAACCAAGGTTAAAACATAAAATTACTAAATACTAAAAACGGGAATGTTATGTCAATGGGAATTGGGTCACGAATGGCGGATGATTTAGGTTAGGGGCGGGGTAGGCGGCGAGGAGTGGAGGAATGATCGATAGAAAAACAAAACACGTGTAAACCGATTCGCCACCCGATCCTAAACCGATCGCGATTGTTTTTAGATGATTTTGCTTGTGTGTAGAGAAAGGCCGACTTTACCAAATATCACAGTTTGTTCACTTTGAGGTCATGATACACATTTACACGGAAAAAAGATGTGAGTGCAAAGAAGAAAATTATTGTATCGTCACGCGTTAGTTTGGTTTTTGGTAAAATCGACCTGACTTTCATTTGTCTTGGTTATTATCGCGTGTCGCGGCGCGCTTTAACGTTTACATGATAATAAAATAATGCGGACACTTGTGCGTGACGAGCAGCAGCGTGAGGGAAATGAACAGATGCAGGTGGAGGGTGTGCATGTGAAAGATGGAGCTGAACACCGGGCAGCAGTGGTGCTGGTGGTGGTGATGCTGCTGCTGGCCGCGCGCGGGTTGCGCATCGTCGGCGCGTTTGCTAGCGAACCGCACGAGTTTTGCATACTCATTCAGCGCCTGCTTGCGCGTCTTCGCGTCCTCGTTAAGCGCGGGCGCGGAGAGCTCGTCTTTGTACGGCAGAAAATCGGCCCACGTGTCTGCTTTCGGTCGGCGGATGTACACGGGAGAGGCGGGAGCAGGTGGGGAAAGGCGCAGCTTTTTCGGCGAAACGACCGACGCCTCCAAGCAGGACAGGGAGCGGTTATCGGGAAGGACGAGCGAGCGTTTCTCCGCCAACAACATGGCGTCGAACATCATGTCGTCGTCGTATAAGTCGTTGTTAGTAAGATTGCGCTTGTTGAGTGAGATTACTGACATGAGTTCCTGCAGCTTGTTGGATTTCTCCGACTCCTCCGACTTGACCTTCTCGTAATCGGCCTGGAGCTGTTGCTGCGTCAGTTGCAGTTTTGAGTTCAAACTAAAACAAGAGTCAGCAAAAAATTAGCATCATCATCATCAATAGTACATATTACATCATGAACATTATACACAACTTACTCCTTGATATCGTTAAGCATTTGTTGCTTCTCAGAGATTTCATCTCGCAACTGCGCCACTTGTTTCTGGTGCACATCACGCAATTGATCCATCTGCTGTTCCAAAGCGACACGCATCTGGTTGGCTTCCTTCTTCTCACTTTCGCTCACACTGCTAACTTGTTCAGCAGCCTTTAACTTAGCGCATTCTTCACGCAACGCATCGACATTCTCCTCGAGCGCACGTTTCTTATTCTCGCTTTCGCGCATGCTCTCCTGCAAACTCTTCATTCTAGCTTCATGCTGTGAAATCAACAATCTCCCCTCGGCTAATTCCTTCTCATAATCAACCACCTTACGGTTGCTGTCCTTGTGTGAGGCCTCCAGCTCATTGAGACGCGTTGTGATATTAGTCACATCACTCTTCATGCGACTAATATACAACCTCGCCACAGTGAACTCCTCCTCCAGCTTGGCAGCATCGTTGGAGATATTCAAATCGGTTCGTTCCGAGCCAAGCACACTGCCGATATCACCCAACTCCTTCAATAAGTTGGACAGCATATCAGCAATTCTCTTCTTCTGATGTGTGCTCATATCCCTCAACTGTTGTAATTCCGAAGAAGTTGTGTTGAATGAAGCCTGCTTCTGCATGAGTTCCTCGGAAAGACTCTCCATCTCCTTGTTCTTTGCCTCAACTTCCTGACTCTTCTGATCGTAATTAACAGCGAGTTCCTCCAGGGCTTGCAGGACTTCCTTCACCTCTTCCTTTGCGCTTTCATTTTCTTGCTGAATGCGGTTCATCTCAGCTTGTAAGGCTTCGTAGTCCCGACGGGTGGCAGCGATAAGATCATCCTGCTCCATCATCTGCTCCTTGAGCTTCTCGACATACTGACTCTGTTGGTTAATCTCCTCATCTTTCTCATCCAACTGTTGGTATAATCTCTCGCGTTCCTGCTCCAGTTTCTGTCTATCTTCAGAACCCAGAGTGGAGCCAATCATGAGCGCAGGCGTGGCTGGAATTGGTCCAGCAATTGGTGCAGCTGTCGACTCCTCCATGATGTTGCTAGGAGTACTAGCATCCATCTCATTGAGATTGACCTGTTCCTCAGTATCAACAGTCTCCCCAGCACGCCATTTCGCAAGCTCAGCTTCAAGTTTCTCAACTTTACCCTTGAGCCTGCCCACTTTTTCCTTCTCACGCTCATATCTGCGCTTCCATTCTTCAGCAGTGAGCTCCTCGTTCACGCAGACGACGTTCTTCACCGTCTTTGCACGCTTACCGAACTCCAGAGTGGATTTGGTTTCCGACTCGTTGAAGCTGGCAGGCGAGCAGCAGATGACGATCGTCGTCCGCGCATTACCACCGAGTGACTCTTGTAGAATACGCGTCAATTTAGAATCTCGATAGGGGATGTGCGTTTTGTTGCCGTCGGCCAGGGCACTGATGACATTACCGAGCGCCGAGAGGGATTTGTTGATGTTTTTAGCTTCGTCTAATACTGTACCCTCCGCGCCAGTTTTTGAAACTTTTTCGGAACCAGCCAAATCTACCAGGTACAACTTTCCGGAGAGTTTCTTCTGATTTTCCATATTTTCCTGTTTGACGTTGATAAGAAACACCGAGTGTGAACGCGACGAATGTTCATTCATGTCTGAAAACGAAAATAATGTCACAAAACGCCACTAAAATTTTAAATATTAACTTACTGGTTACAGCAATATGTCTATTAGATTTTCCCTCCTCGATAGCTTCAAAGACCTCATCCGGTGACGAAACAAACCTTTCCGTTGCGCCCTTGACAAAAGGCACACGATTTTTGTCTTCGTGCACACTTAAATTCACCTTAGAAACTGAAAACACAACAAAAAATTAATCCCACTTCAAATTTCTACAATTTTAAAACATTACCATCAAGTAAATCACGAATTTTATCCATGTAAATCTCAAAGTAGGAAACTTTAATGTGAAACTCTAAATTCTCCTCCATCTGGTAGATGTGGTTGAAGATGTCGTTGACAATACGTGGGATGATACCCTGCTTGGCAGGGTCATCAAGCACACCTTCCATCGTGTGCGTTTTACCGGATGACGTCTGGCCGTAAGCGAAAATCGTTCCATTGTAACCAGCCAGGACGTCGCTGACAATACTCTTGGCCGCCTCATTGTAGACCTTCTCTTGTGTCGCATTCGGTTTAAAAACTTTGTCAAATAGATAAACTTTTCCCTGCAAAACAAGCGAAAAAAACATTACATTTTAGCAAAACAAAAGGAATAGAATTGTGTGGGAGAGTTGGCACGTTCGCGCACGTGGCAGCACGAGACATTAAACTCTTGAACCTTGAAAAGTCCAAGGATTTCGGGGACTAGGGGAACCGGAAAGCGGCGCGTGGCGTCGCGCAACGCCCGGGTATCCTAGTCTATAACAGACATAAATCAAAACATTTGATTATATTTTGCCCTTGAATTTTTATAAATTCGTATGTTCCACCCTCTACTAAATAAAATCATAATAACGGAAGATATATGAGTCCTAGACACAAAAAATTCACTCCCAATGTATTATTCAGCGGATAGTAGAAATACCCTTGCGCATTTTCACCTTTTCATCCATTCAATACCGCGCAGACACAACAAAAGACTGCAAAAAATATCATCTGCAAGGTGTGTTTGTGTTGGGGGGCGCGCGTGTGGCATAATGTTAAATTGCTCCAGTCGGCGGCGGCGGTGGCTGGATGACTGCAGCCGTCTCCACTCTCGCGCCTGGTCAAGGGCAGCGCCTTATTGATTTTGTATCCACACACCGGGATATCCGCCCCAAAAATAGCTTTTTCATTAAAATTCAACAAATTTAAACAAAAGCGAAACAAATCACACCGTAAATGTTTATGGAAATGAGAATTGCACGTAAAATAATGACGATTAAATTAGTTTTCCTGTTTTCCGGCACGTAACTTGCAAATTCAGTAAGGATCGCGTGTCATTCAGCGAAAAACAATTTAAATTTCAATCAGAACAAAAAAATTTCAAACTTAATCACAAGTTAATCAAATAAGACAAAATAATATCAAAATAAAACCATTAATTACACAGGTCAACACAAAATTTGCCTTTTCGTTTAAAGGTTTAATTTCGATAATTTAGGTCATAACTACACGAAAAAAAAATATATGACATAAAGAAGTTTGCTTCTGTACTCAGAATTCAGATTTAACTATATTTTTCAAAATTTGGGATTTTTATGTTTAATTAAGGATAGAACTATACAAATAAATTAATTTATCATTTGCATGAAATTTTACTATTAAAATAACTTATAAAAAAGTGAAAAATAGTTTAAAAGTGTACATTTTTGCCCTTTTTTTATGATCATAAGTGCTTTCTCTCAATAAACCCCAGATATAGTCTCCCATCATATTTTCATTATATTGGCCTTGATATCGTTGTTCGAAGTTCATGATGTCCTGATGAAAACGTTCTCCTTGCTCTTCGGAATATGCCCCCATGTTATTTTTGAACTTATCTAAGTGCGGATGAAGCAAATGTACTTTCAAAGACATTCAGCAACCCATGGCCTTAAAATTTTTCAACATGTTTTCAACTAATTTTTCGTAGTTTTTAGCTTTGTTATTTCCTAAGAATCCAGATACTACTACTTTAAAACTGTTCCAACTTGCTTTTTGGGTGTGATTAAGCAATTTTGAACATTTTTCATCGGCGTAAATTTGCCTAATTTGCGGACCAACAAAAATTCCAGCTTTAACTTTTGCTTCAGATAACTTGGGAAAATTTTCAAATAAGTAAAAGCTTCTGAGGTATTGTCAAATTGTTTAACGAATTGTTTCATCAAATCTTTTCTCTCCTTGATACCAACCTAACATGTAGAAATAACTACGAGTAATTTCTACAATAACAAAATCAATGAAATGACAAATGTTTTCCCTGTTCCTCCAGGTGCTTTCCCGCTTTTCTATACGAATTTTTCTACCATTTTCTTTGTTATATACCTCCCTGAGCCCGAGACCTATCCAACGAATGCAAAACCGTGAAAATCGGTTGGTGCGTTCTGGAGTTACAGCGACAGGAAGGAAAAGCCGTCTTATTTTTATATAGTAGATTTGAAAATGAGTATTATTACTACAGATATCACAAAAGCAAACTTTTTATCAAAATGAGGTATTCGCTGGTAGTTGTTGTGCATAATTAACCCAAAAATCATAAAATAAACTTTAGGCAAAAAATAAACAATTTTTTGTTGAGCCGTGTTATCGATCAATGCATCAAAGTTTGTTTCTCTCAATTTTATTTTTTTCTTTGTTGACTTTTCTGTTGAAATATAATCAAATAAAAGGTGAATGAGCATTAAACATGCATTACATCCACGAGGGGCTGTTGCAAGGAAGCTCACACCCCTAACAAAAGTTCGATATCGAATATGGTACTATTTCAACGGCCGCCGCCGGCGAGTCGGTGGTTATTACGCGATAGTAGCTGTCGTTACACTTAAAATAAGCCGCCACAACCGCAACCCGCAAAGGAAACAACCCTACGATCGATACGCCAGACATCGCACCGGCCGCTATGTTTCAACGTTTCTACGATTCCCAATTTAATATTTTTCGAATGTAATTACTCTACTTGCATATCTTTATACACTTTCAACAATTAATTCTGACGTTTTAATTAAAGTGAAAACAGAGTGAAGACATAGAATAATTAGGTTAAGAAGGAAAAAATCTAAGGTGTGAATAAAAGAAATTCTCCTTGACACATAATAATAACGTTGCCAACCTGTCAACATGCCAACAAATCAGCAAGTCGCGGAAATCTTGAACGAAATTAAAAAGTGAAATTTAAATTTCGCTACAACTTAAACTCAACTGAATGCCAACTAGTTCATAGAGCCTTAATATTGTCTAGCATAAAAACACTAAACTATTTTAAATTGTCCGGAAGTCGATGAATTTTCCGCTATGTCTAACAAAAATAGATTTGATTACAAAACAGTAAATTTGATTGTACACCGAAATAAAAACAAAACTTTGTACCACATGAATAATACGAAATATTGTGCGCTATAAAAAAAAACACTATGCAACTCTGGTATCAAGGTATGAAGTAATCAAATAATAGTTTAATTAGCGTTGTTTTCGACTTTTTGTGCGCGTTGCGCCATCATCGCGCGCTGCGGCACGACATGCGCTCGAGATCAGACGAATGTCAGTCAATGTCGAATCAAAAATATATTAGACTGCTGCTTGTACAACAAGAAACCACAACAAATAGAAAATCATGTTGATATACAGGTGTGTAATGCCTTCAAATACTATAAATTAAAATTAAATGACAAAAAATATTTGTATCACTCGGTATAAATCACCTTCGTAACATAAAAGGTAATTACGACAAGCAGCAAAAAATGTGTTACGCTGGTAGCAGTCGAACAAAAAAAAAATCAAACTCGGCTTGAATCTGAATTCTACCTTTTACCTCCTCTCGACCAAACAACACGCAACACAACACACAAAAACATTGAAAAATTACGTAATGCAAGTTGTACGAGAGGTACTAGTCCAGTCATTTATGTATTTATGCTGGTAGGAACAAATTGTTATGCGGCGCGGTTCGGCGTAATGGTCCAAAGATAGATTACGAGTTTACAAACTACGAGCATGTACACCAGCATCCACGATTCAGTTCCGCAGTGTGCGCACTCACGCCTAAATAAAAATATGTTAAACTGATTTGCGTCGTCGCGGTCAACCGGCGAGAGCCGAGGAGATGAATCGTAAACGGGAAGTATTTTTCATTGCTTTCACGTGATGATGATGAACTTCAATCATCAATAAAAACATTTGATATTGACCACAATGACAAGATGACAGGCTGAAATGATTTATTTTTTATCTATTTTTTGGTTTTGTGAAAGAAATTTAACCGAAAATAAAATATAGCGATAAAATTAAACAAGTGCCCGACTAAATTTATGTTGAATTGATTTCTTGATTGTTCTCAGTTTGTCTGGTTGTTTGACGCAGCCTATACCTGACTGATGTACAAAAGCCTTATCAGTGAACAATGATGGTTTTAATAGATCATTGTCCATGTGCGGTTTGAACCAATGACAGTAGTGAACTCTCAGCTGATAATCTTTTCAATACAAATTATTATTTCACAGATAGAAATGAAATTTTACGACTTTTTTATGGAGCCACTATTGTAGTTTTGTTTAACGCTAATTTGTAACTCAGTGGCTTTCAATCAATACCTTTTGATATACCTATCTACACATACTCATCAATTTCTTTACAATAGGCAATTTATAAAAAAATTTCAAGGTAAATTCTTCTGTTTTTGTGTAAACTCGCAAAAATATTAACATGATAGTAAATTTTATTCCACAATGAGATTCAAAAACGTCAGTATTCGTTGTCATTTTATTATTTCTAACATTTAACAACAAATTCAAAATTCGAACACTTAAAGTTCAGACATGCCTAGTAGCAATAGCAGCAGCAGAAGTTGCTTTGCAAAAACGTAAAATACATAGTAGAATATATTCGATTAAAATTTATGAGTCACGATTTGCGTGTTACTAGATTCTTAAACGCTTTGCCACACAAAAAATTGCAACACCTGGCCTAAAGAAAGAGGCTACCCTTAAACCTGCAAACAATTCAAATCTTTTCAATTCGTTCGTTTTGGAGTGTATTTTATGAATTGAATTCGATTCCAACTAAACTATGAAAATGTGTATTAAGTACCTCACCTATTCAAAGGTATTGATATAATGTTTGTCTAGTGCTTACCTAGCCTTATCTCAATGTTGATCATGAATGTTTGTTTTTAGGCATATGCATGTAGGAAACGTAAGAAATTATCTACAAAATTACAGACTGACTAGTACTTCAAATTAGTGTTTTAGATATTAAGCTTAGAAAAATCTAAACTGTAGATGAATTATCGGGCTAGAATACCCTTCGAGAGTACACCTCTGTCTGCCCAGGCGTTGTACCACCACACCTTCCCCCACCACTTTTTACGGGTAGGCCGCAGGTATATAAGGGTAACTCGCGGCGACCACAGTATTCAAGTCGTGCCTGAGTGGTCAAGCAGAACAGTCGCAGGTTTCTCACTCTCCCTTCGAGTCTTCGTTTTAGTGTAAATTTAAGTGACAATTTTTTTTAATCAGAAATTTTTGACCAAAACCACCGATATTTAATAACGAACATATCAAAAATAAAATTATTCAAATTCGACTATCAAACAGCAATTCATTTATACGTGAATATAGATTATTTTGTCAGATAAAATCATTCAATTATTATCACGAAAAATCTAGATTAATTTCGACTTCTAATCTGCCAAATTATCACTAAACATGCATACAAAACACAATATCATTGCACCTTATCATATTCATTAGTGTACTTTTCGGTGATATCACCTTACACTTGTTATAATGTTAATACAGCAAATATTACATTATACAACACGCATCTACATCAAAGCACAAGTATAAAACCAATAATATTAACCTTAATCATCCTACATAGTAAAGAAAACGCTGCTTGCATTGCAGCACAAAAAATTAATGGGCAACCAAGCGCGGTGTGCATTGAGCTGTTACAGTGTAAATCAAATTTCCGATACTGCCAATATTCAATTTTAACTAGATACTAACAAGTTTATCACATTAATAACCATACCACCTGTTTTTATTTAGCTGGGTGCTATGCATACATTTCTAACAGGTATCTATATAAAAGATGGTTGTGTTAGTTACAACATTTATAACTCAAGAACGACTGGACAGATATTGATTTGTTAGATTCGTCTCCACCCCGAATAGCGGAATAAGTATGACTAAATTATGACTTAAAAAGTCTTAAAAAGGGATGAAAATTGGCGATCGTTATAGCTAAATAACTGAATCCAAGATCGTGCTAAAGTAAAATCTAAATAATTCTATTATGTTCTTCAAAGTGCATGTCTGTCTACCACACTACCATCTACTTTGAACTCACAAACAAAACAAAACAAGCGTTAATTAAACCCAACAACATAAACATCCTAGCCTTCCTAAGCCCCCTACACTAATTAAGACCTACATTTATAAATTAAAACTAAGCCAGCGCTAAAAACTTATTCGAGCACTCGGTGGTGAATTCTTTACGGTCGCGCGCGACTCGTCAGCGAGGCATGCAGCCACGAAATTAATTACGGTCGCGGTCTCGCGGACCTAATGATTGCCATTTGCTCGTTTTCCATTGCTTCGCGTGTGCTTATGCTCTGCGCCCGGCCGTCTCGCCATTTATTGCCTGCCTGCGCTCGCGCTTTTTAAACTCAAAACTTACAATTTACAATTCAAGCCAAACTAGAACCTACATATTCATTTGCAGAGGTCGATATGATGGAGCCGTGTACGTATTTCCTCAAGCACAACGCGCATGCAATCGTAAGGCGCGAGCTGTATAAGCTTTCTTCCACTGTATGCACACGTTTTGATCAACAATATACAAAGTGTTGAGGGTAATCAAGCAAAAGCAAGCAAGAAGTGTTTATACGTGCAAGTTTACACAGGCAGAACAAAACGTACCTAATTACGTTTGACTTACGGTGTTTAAAAGTGTTTGACGGTCAACAATGCTTTGTTTTTAGTCATTTCCAGCATGTTTTTTTCAGAGATTTTAGTTGTGACTCAAGGAAATGTTGTGGTTACTCATTTCCGTCAAAGGTTTAAAATAAAAATAAAACATTTTCATAGCTTTAAAAGTGTCATGTCCCCTATTATAGGTCTGGTTTAAGGTATGAAAAACAAGGTTATAAATGAAGAATATTTTACTTCAAACCAAAAGTAGAAAACAAAGCAACTGCAAATGCTGAGAAACTTTGAAAATATGTTGAAATAAATAGTCTCCTGTTAGGTAACGCAATTTGAATAGTACAACTGGTGAATTAATTACACGAAAATCAATTAACTTTAATTAACAGGTTCTTCACTCACGCATCAGGTAAATATTATGTTGCTATACCTTTGTTTAGGTCAGTAAATTAACCAAATGTCAAAACATTTTGAAATATATTTAATTTTCCTGTAATAATTTTACTTTTTCAGTAAAATTAAGAGAAACAAGTAACTAAATATTGTAATTTTACAATAATTGATCCAATATTCATCAGGGTTAAGTCCCAAAAGTACCAAAACAAAAATTTATCTCAAAAATATTGAATAATTGACAAGATCTCAATGAATTCAATGAATTTTCGACCTTTTAGTCCTTAACACCTCCTACCCCCTAAGAACCCTTTTACCCTTCCTCACCTTAAACCTATTTTGGTTAAAATATTAAATAATAAATGCGAGTGCGGTTGAAGTAGCTTGTGCAGCTTGTTCCCGTATCGATCGCGACTCGTATATGCGCATCCAGCAAGCGCCCGAAAAGTTCAATAAACTTTAATTTTTCCAGCCACAAGTGCACTTCATATTATGTAAGAACTAAGTAAGTACCATTACCGTAATATACGAACGATCGGGAGCGCAATGCAGCACAACACAATCGCTAATGTCCGAACATACAACGTTCAATCAACTTTTGAAGTCTTCCGACAACCGAATCAAATTCCACACAATACATATGCCAACAGTAGGCAAGTGAAGCTTTAACCGCGCGTTAATCAAAAGTTTCTAATCGTCTAATCAATTTCGAATACAATATAGATTGCAAAACGAAACAAAGTAATCAGGTTATTTAATTGCGTACACATATGATGGCGCTGTATCTTTTTGTTTCTTGAGAGTTAACTTGGAGATTAATCACAGATAGAACTTACGCACTAGCTCAAGCAATGTTACATGGACATGGACGATGAGTCACGCTTTCATATGACACAATCCACATGAATTCATAGCTCGACGAGCGCAACGCGGAATGAAGTAGAGTGGATAATGAATTTACAGAGATCAGGGTCGAATTTAACACAAGAGAATTTTCAATAAACTTAATGAAAAACACCAATAATAATAAAATAGTCGCGTTGTATGTAAACACTTTGTATGTTTATGTATTTTTTTACTTTATATTTTTATTTTTGATGATTTTTATTTGTTTGTTTGGTTTCAAATCGAAAAAATCGAGTGTTTTAGAGCAGTTGAGCTCGTCCAAACGAATCGTATCGATTTTTTCGCTTTCTTGCAAGTTCCACAAACCGTAGCCGTGGAAAAAAATTACCTCCACATGCAGTTTCTCTCGTTTTGCATTCGCCTACAACCCACGAACACTACCAATTTAATTGTGTGGGTATGTAAGCGACCGAAACGCCTTTATTTTAATTTACATTTAGAATAAAATGTTTTACTTACCGCGATAGATATGCAATTCTCGTCGGATCCGGATGGAAATTTTACAACGAATTGCGAGCCAGCCTTCTCTTCGCTGTCGTTGAGTGGCCGAAATCGGCACACTACCCTAATGCTATCCTCGGCGGGTATTTCGCGTTCGCCCGACATCCTGCCGCTGTGTTGTTAACTTGCCGGCGTTTCCTGCACTTTCAGCACACCACCGGGGATCAACGCTTCGGATCCCACTGCAACACGTGTACGATGCTTCTACTCATGCGAACCGCGAGCTGGATCACGACCGGAGACTCTCCGATGCAACTAGGTGGAGTTGATGATTGTGTGCGGTGTATGGAGCGCGCACCACGTCCGCAACCCTCGCGCCGAATCGAGTACTTGCGCTGATTGTTGCCGATTGTTACCTCCCACGCACGCACTAGAAATGTGTGCCACCCTTGCGGCTGATAGTCCGTTTTTTTGCCGGCGCGTCTTCGGTTTCTATGGTGGCGAAACGAATGCGATACACTCGGCGTACTCGGTTGGCCTGCCTGCTGATGCACACCGGACTGACGTCGGCTGGTTTTTTACGCTTCGACCAGCGGCGAAACGGCCATCTTGACGTCTAAATGGAAATCGAACCGCACGGAGCGGCTGGGACGAGACTTGCGCACGAACTTACACGAAGTGTTGCCTTCGTGGAAAAGCAGTGCTACCAACTGTCTTTTAATATGTGCAAGTAAAGTTGCCTATGTTAAAACAATTAAAACTATATTATTAAATATATAACTACTATATAACTAAATGTAATTATTGTATTAATAATATTACATCTAATTAAATCAGAAGTAATTTAAATTGCATTAATTAAATTTTAAATGATTGTGAAGATGTTACAAGTGACAGATGCCAGCTGTCAGCTGTCAAAACAAAGCAGATAAGCCGAGATGAAAATGGAGTCATCATCAAACTCGTTGTCGAATTAAAAGCGAACATAATCTAGTCCCAAACGCTCAAACAAACTACAATAAATCCACCACCAAAAAGAAACATGTGCCACTAGACGTCCCCGAACACAATGACTCGTAAATCACGCAGAATGCACGCGCCAACGCATTTGCATCTTGAAAAGAAGCGCCGTTCGTCGAACAATTGAGTAAGCGCATTAACTTAATAACTATTTATGTAAATTTACAATAATCGTCTTCAAGCAACCACTTGGCGCACAGTTTATTTAATATACATTCATTGTCTTGATTTGTCTCTAACAACACATTAAACAATTTCTACATTTCTAGCTAAATTTTCCAACAAAAAAATGGGTTGTGCAAGCAGTAAAACAGATATAAATGATCAACACCCCAACATCTTCCAAGTGATGAACGTCGACGACGAATTCCGGCCTATTTCACCCGGCCAGATTGAAATCACCGACACTGAGTTGATTTTCTACCAAAGAACAAAAAAACCAACAACATGGTCACTCAGAAACCTACGAAAGTATGGATTTGATAGTGAAATCTTCAGTTTTGAGTGTGGAAGACGCTGTGCTACCGGCGAGGGCATATTTGCATTCAAATGCAAGAAAGCTGAGCAATTATTCAACCTTCTACAGCATAATATCCAAGTGAGAAATATGAGTGAAGAAGGTCTGGATGTGAATAGTCTGCTAAACATGCAACAAAGCAATCAGAACCAAAGAGAAGTCCAAAGAAGAAGCGCTGTCAACTCACCTGAAGGATATTTGAATCCTGTGAGTAATGGAACTGTAAACAGGCCGCCATTGAGTCGCCCAGGGAGTATAACCAGCAATGGCCCAACAACTCCGCCACCTAACGCTACAAATCCACAAATTCCACATCCGGAAACCAACAATAACAAAAGCAGCAGTGGGAATTCTGTTACAGTAAGACAAAACTCATCTGAACATGCTTATCTCAACTCTGAAGTCATTAACCAAACAGAGGTAGGTCATCAGTACATTAATCTACCAAATGGTGACTCTCACACGAATAGAAACGTTTATATGAACATTGATACCATGAATGTTTGTAACACTACCACACCTGTGAAGCCACTGCTTCAATCTGTAACCATTGAAGAGATCTCGCATGAAACCGAAGACATTGATGAAAATAACGTGGTGGAGACGATTATCTTGCCGCAGTTTCCACTCTCACCGTTACCAGAGTGTCAGAGTTGTCTGGAGGATGTGCATTGTTATGCGAATATCGACGCGAATGCGCTTGCACTGGCGGATTGCTATGATCCGTCCAGTGGGAATATCAACGGGGTGATTGGAGGTAATTTTGTGATAGACGAGCCGCAGGAGGTGAATTATGTCGAGCTGGATCTTGAGCCGAGCGGCTGTGGCCCGGTGAGCGTGAGTAAGACGCGGCCGTTGAGCGGAGATAGTCCGGTCAAGGGTAAGCCGTATGTGACGATTGATTTTAAGAAAACCGATGCGTTGTCGAACAGCATTAATCCCCGGCTGGAGCTGGAGGAAGGGTGTAGGAAGACGAGGCATAATTCGACGATAGGGGACATCAGACATAGCAGTTCGATTAGTGACTGAAAGTTTAGGTTTTAGATTTTGATCGGTTTTTACTCGTATTCGATTTGAATTGTTCAATTATGAGATAATGTGACAATGCCAAAGTTTTTAGGATTGAGTGACTCTTGTTTGGAAGTATTTTTAGTCTTTTTATAATTTATTTGGGAAAAATAGTAAGTAAAAACTAATTAACGTACAGTTTAGATACGTATACGTTTATTTTATGCTAAAAATTTGAATTTTATTGGGAAAAAACAACAAAAATTGCATTATTTTATGATTTACTTGCTAAATTTAATCTAGTTATTCAACCTTTTATTCTTTTTTACAAAGAAACTTATTTTATTACATTTTTTGCTTCAAAAAGCAAAAATAAACAATTTTTATGCTCAATTTTTGTGCAGATTATGAGCAATTTTATGTAAATTGTTATTTTGTAAGCAAAACATCTTTCAAACAAGAGTTATCCACTTTTTTGTTTCAATAATTTACAAACATTTGTTATATCTTCCAAAATAAGTGCTCAAAACGTTTAAATTTACATTTGATTGCAAACATCGAAAGCAAACAAAAACAATTTGTGATTTTGTGATTTAGATTCAAGATTTTTAAACAACATTTTATTCTAGTATTTATCAGAGAAGTTGATTAGTACTCTAGTGTTTTTGGAAACAATTATCACCACCCCAAACTCAAATTAGTGACGAATTGCTATTGCGATTCGCAGATAACTACATAAAAGCCTGGGCAAAATGCATGTAAATATTGAAACAATTTGTAACATCACATCACACAATCAGGATGAACATTACGAACATTATAGCATTACAACCCCAATATTAGCATAAGTGAAAGTAAAGTGTGTATGAGAAACCAAACAAAAACATATGCCAAAGTATCGAAAGGAATAAGATTGAGAAAACATATTTTATATTAGTGTTACATCATGTGAGTCATATTGATCTGTTGTTATATCTATGAATTCTCTATGATCATTATGAATTATTTTTCAATGACAAAGTGTATTGTAATCTTAAATATTCTATTGCGTATACGTTTTTATCAATCATTTTAATCATCTACGGTTCTATGACATAGTTTTAAGGCGTAATTAAGTTTTTATCATGTTGTATTTTGAGCAAAAGAAACGTTGTGCACAAACCAAAGATATTTGATAATTATGGTAAAACGAGTTGAAGTTTTGTATGAGTGGATTGAAACATTGAACAAACAACCTGTAGTTTTAAGAAGATTGTGTATTATTTTTTAGTAATGCGATGAGAGGAGACAAACTACCAAAACGAATTATATGATACTATTATAATATGTAGAGAATATTTAATTTTTTGAATAAAAAAAATATCGGAAGATGCAATTGGCTGAAACAAAATTTCTTGATATTATTACTTTCATTTGTGAATACGTAATCCATTGTATATTTTGAAATATTTATTTATAAACTTTACGTGAATATTGGATTTACAATTTTTATATATTGAGTTAACATGTTTCGTTTTTACACCAGGCACTACATATATTCAATATTGTTGCAATATTATAAAAACAACTATAATATTTATTTAAACTTACCAAAAATAACATAAAACGTTTATAACGACGAGTTAGCACAATTTCGAGTCAAAAATTTACTTGTTATAATAAAATTATAATTTTGTTCCCAATGAATGATTTATACACCCAGTTTAATTCCAAGGTTGTTGATTTAAAAAAGTTTTTTACTAGATTTGACCTTGGAATTAAACTGGTTGTATAAATCATTCATAGGGAACAAACTTATAATTTTATTATAACAACTAAATATTTGACTAGAATGTGTGCTAACTCATGATTATAAACGTTTTATGTTATTTTTGATAAATATAAATAAAGATTATAGTTGTTTTAATAATATTGCAACAATATTGAATATATGTAATACCAGGTATAAAGAGCTGTATGTTGGGTTGCCTCCTTTATAACTGCAAATTCTTAATTTCTCACTTCTCCAGGTTCTTGATTTTAAAAACTTTTTTTACTAGATTTGACCTTGGAATTAAACTGGGTGTATAAATCTTTCATTGGGAACAAAATTATAATTTTATCATAACAAGTAAATATTTGACTAGAATTTGTGCTAACTCATGATTTTAAACGTTTTATGTTATTTTTGATAAATATAAATAAAGATTATAGTTGTTTTAATAATTTTGCAACAATATTGAATATATGTAATACCAGGTATAAAGAGCTGTATGTTGGGTTGCCTATATCATAACAGCAAATTCTTAATTTCCCACTCCTCCCTTAACCGAAGCATTTTAATGGCTGCCGCGTCGTCTCAGGCTTGTATCGAATACCTCATAAATTCTAACTAAAAACTACCTGAAATCAACGATGGCCCAACGCTTCCCTGGGCCAGGCCCATCCCCGGGATCAGGCGGGCCGCCACCGCAGCGTTATCAGCCGCCTCCGAACCAACTACGATCGTATCCCGGACCGCCGTTTGCACCGATGGTAACCTCACATATTTTGTACCTGATTAACTTGTTTACGCTCATGTTATTTGTTTTCAACAGCAAAGAAGTGGTTTTACACCACCACCAAACATGCAACCAGGTCCAGGCGGTAGTCAATTAATGCCAAGACCACCTCAACAACCCTATTCCCCAATGAGGGCTGGCCCCATTTGCAACAAACGGCCGGCAGATGACCGCCGCGGCGGGCCAATTCAACAAAAAGGACATTACAATGAGTACATGCACGGCAAAAAGAAGAAAAAACTAGCTGATAAGATCCTACCACAAAAAGTAAGGGACCTAGTACCAGAAAGTCAAGCTTACATGGATTTACTAGCTTTTGAGAGGAAACTAGATGCTACAATCATGAGAAAGAGGTTGGATATTCAAGAAGCACTTAAAAGACCCATGAAACAAAAGCGAAAACTACGGATTTTCATTTCTAATACTTTCTATCCAAGTAAAGAACCAAGTGCAGATGGACCTGAAGGACCTGGTCAAGAAGGGTAAAAAAAATTACATAAAAAACTTGTTTAAAAGAAATTAATTTAATATTTTACAGTACTCTTGCTTCTTGGGAGTTACGAGTCGAAGGTCGCCTTCTGGAAGACACCAAGAACGACCCCAACAAAGTAAAACGCAAGTTTTCCTCCTTCTTCAAATCGCTGGTCATCGAGCTGGACAAGGAACTCTACGGCCCTGATAATCACCTTGTCGAATGGCACCGCACACTCAGCACTCAAGAAACCGACGGTTTTCAAGTCAAACGACCCGGCGACAAGAACGTACGCTGCACAATTCTACTTCTCTTGGACTATCAACCACTGCAGTTCAAGCTGGATCCGCGCCTTGCTCGTCTTCTCGGCGTGCATACACAAACACGCCCGGTGATCATCAGCGCTCTATGGCAGTACATCAAAACGCATAGGTTACAAGACTCTCACGAACGCGAGTACATTGTCTGCGACAAGTACTTGGAGCAAATTTTCGGCTGTAATCGCATGAAATTCGCTGAAATTCCACAACGTCTCAACCCACTTCTACATCCCCCAGACCCAATCGTTATCAATCATGTTATTTCCGTCGAAGGTGGCGCAGATAACAAACAAACTGCTTGTTATGATATCGATGTGGAAGTCGATGATACTCTCAAGACTCAGATGAATAACTTTTTGTTGTCTACGGCCAGTCAACAGGAGATTCAGGGCTTGGATTTGAAGATTCACGAAACCGTGGATACAATCAATCAGTTAAAGACGAACAGAGAGTTCTTTTTGAGTTTTGCCAAGGATCCGCAGCAGTTTATACACAAGTGGATTGTGTCGCAGACGCGCGACTTGAAGGCGATGACTGACGTGGTGGGTAATCCAGAGGAGGAACGCAAGGCGGACTTCTTCTATCAGCCGTGGGCTCAAGAGGCGGTTTGTAGGTATTTCTATACTAAAGTGCAGCAGAAACGCGCTGAGCTGGAGCAGGCGCTTGGCATTCGTAATAATTAATTATAAAATATTCGAGTTAGGTTTAAGTGAATTTAGGGTAAGGTTTTTAATATTTCGAATAAAAAATAAACAAGAAGATAAATGTCAAACAAATGAAGAGAAAGAATCCTTATTTGAATCCTCAAGTAGTAAGTTATAACAAAATAAATATGTTTTTAAGTTATACTAACACAATTGCTTTAAATTATGGATTATAAAAGTAATTTTCATTTTTTTATAAGAAAAACATAAGATTTGAAGGTTTTCAAGGATTTTATTGAGTAATTTTTGATTTTATTTAAAAATTGCTGTAAATATTGTTTGGTTTTATGTTTTAATGTATGAACACTCAGTTATAGTTATGGTAAATGAGAAAATCACACTGAAAAGTCGGTTGTTTCTCAAAGTGCAACAAAACGGCAACAGACGCAAAAAATAGAGAAAAAAAAAACAAATATTGCCGGAGATAAAAAAGTTTCGCTCTCACGAACAAAGAGGGAGCTAGCAGTATGTCTGAGAGATTAATTGGAGCTGTTGTTCCATACTGAATTTTAAGTCAATGCTATTGTATTATCTTATCAGTTAAAGTAGTTTTAAAAAGCCTGGTTAAGTTTAATACGTCTGATTTTGTAACAATACTCATCGGGGATATAGCTCAGTGGTAGAGCATTCGACTGCAGATCGAGAGGTCCCCGGTTCAAACCCGGGTGTCCCCTTCCTTTTTGTCTTATATTTTTGATTTGTTACAATATTTACTTACATATTTTACTATTTTGACTAATAATGAACAATATTTGTTCCAGATGATTACAAAAACCAACTTATTATGAATATTAGGACTTTATGCACTTGTAAAGTAGGCGAAACCTACAAAAGTCTCGCAGCCAATAGAAATCACGCATTCAATACTACTTAACCAACCACAAACGCGCCTTACCAGGTACAAATCACTTACTTAACCACCGAGTGCTCTAAACATACACATAAAAAATAATACTAAAAAATATTTCATACATTTTACTCATTTTACTTTAAAATTATTTTTATTTATAATATTTTTATAATTTATGACTTAAGTAACTTTATATAATTTATTTCTGTATTTCTCTTTGCGCCATGTATATAGGCGTTGCCTCCATCTCCGCAAGCCGACTTAACTCAAAAACTCTTGTGTGTCACGCTTGTGAACTACCTACTTACACTACGCTTGGTTTGCGAGCGCACAAAGCCAACAAATCGCAAGCAATCATGAGCAATGCGCGCCTCCCACTCGCCACGCAACGCACACCAACTCAACTCAACTCATGCAGCCAAACAAAGACGCCGCGCACGCAAACAAAACAACCTCACTGAGCGCTTTGTACGCCGCAGGCTGCACAACTAACCACGCTCTTCAACTCCTCGCGAATGAATGAAACTACACAGCCGCGCACTCACCAAAGAAGGTGGAGTAAACTACGACTTAAACGCCGCGTAGTGGGGGGCGCACGCAATTATTGGATATTGTATCCATCCGTACGCTTGTGCATGTGCTCTACTATGGAACATATGAACTGGTAACAGGTGATCTCAACCTGCGCAGAAGACAGAGACAGGTCGACGCAAGTGACTTAAGTCGCCGCGTCAAGTGAGCGCGAGCACGCACGTTGCGGAAGGTGTGCAAGAGAGGGTCAATGCTAGTTCACTGCCACACGCCGCGGCAGCGTGCGCGCGTCTTCTTCTTCTCGGCGCGTGTGCGCGAGTGTGCGTTACGGCAAGGCTGCGGTCAGTAGATCACGATCAAGTGAGCGCGCACACACTACCGTCGCCGACAAGGTAGCGAGCGGAGCTTCTTCACTTTGCTCTCTTCGCGATCGCGATTCGGGCGCATACACGTCGCGTAAACAAACTTAACTTAAGTCAACTTTACTTAACTTCAAATCCAACACCAAAAACAATTTGTGCATAGTGTTTATCATGAAATAAAAAAATTAATAAAAAATAAACATTACTTAATTTAAGTCAAATCGACGCAAGTGACTTAAGTGACTTTTAAAACTTTTCAATAAAAATGGAAACGTGTGTATTAATTCCGCAAGAATTCAGTTTGTGCATTCGCAACAACAATAATAATTCAACATCGAATAATAACAACAACAATAACAATAATAAAGAACTCGAAGTGTCCGTGTGGTCGAATAGCGCTATCGCGCAAGGCGCGCTCTGCTATCCGTTCCAGGGCACCATCCGATTGGACAAACTTGATGTTTACGGACATTTGGACGATGAAGATGTAAGTTATCAGTAATAATCCTAAAGAAAAACATGACTTAAGTCACTTAAATTTTTATATTTCACATTATTTCGCTGTCTATCAACAGCACATCATTACCAGCAGGGTGTCTTTCTTATTAATATTCATTTCGTTGGCGTGAGAGCGCAGTTCAAAGTTCTTCCTACTCGAAATCTGAAATTGAATTCGATGATGATGTATGACCGCCACCGCTAATAAATATTCATGTTATTCACTCAACGGAAGTCTTAAATTTAAATCTTCGAGCATTTGTACTGAAAATATTATTAATGTGAAAATGCTGCGTATGCGCGTCGAAATAACTTGTTTGTGACAAGTTGTTGCCGGGGTAATTAATAGCAATTAAAATATATCTCCTGTACGACACGCGTATGTATGGAAAATGCGATCGGAAATTAATTGCGGCGCGCGCTAATTGGCGTACGATATTCAAATTCAAGGCTTTTCATATTTGTGCATTGCATATTGATATATTTGGCTTCTGTGGTTGTTGCTGCGCTGGCGTCATCGGCGTCTGCAGCAGCATCTTCAGCTGCATACACGCAATGGGAGTAAAAAGGGTGCTGATTTACGATAGCACGCCTTGGATGATTTATGCGCGCGCGGCGCGCCGCCGTTAATTCCACTTTTATTATATTCCGAGAGATGCGCGGCGGCAGGTTGGTGCATTTTACAGAAGCCGTAATTCCTCGGTCGCCGCGCGGAAATAAAAATCGAGCATGCCGGAGTGTAGAACGTGGTGATGTCGATGGGCGAGATGATGCGGTTTTATATAATCCGCGCCCTAAACACCCGTGAATCGGTTGCGCGTACACGCACTCAGCGTGTGCGTCGAAGACTTACAACAAATCGCTGGCGAGCTGAGATTTATGGTGCTGATTGAAAATGCGTAGGATAGGCATATTTACGATCTAATCATTTACAAAGAGTATTTTTTTTTAAATAAAGAAAAAAAATTTTTTAAAAATTGTTTTTGATAATTTTGACGTAAAAAATGGAAAATTGAATCAAAATATGGTAGAAATATTAATATTCAAGTTTTAAATTATTGGATAATTAAATAAATTAAGAATTAATTGTTTAAAGCATTGAAAACTGCTTTATTTCGAATATTGTTTTGTTTTGGTCTTGTTCTTGTAAGTTTTTTGTATGTGACACGATTTATCATTGCAATATTTTCAATAACAACACTATAATAACTTTTTATAAATATTGTATTTGGTATATTCCGGTTTTCTTGACTATTCAGTGATAACTTGCTACATTTTTAATAAAAATCAATTTTTAGACCAAAATAAACTGAAACTTGAGTTAATTTAGATCGTTATTAATTAATTAATCAAAATAAAAGTATAAATGTTTCATAAATTTATCCAAAATTAAATTCTTTAACAAATTGCAAAGAAAATTTTGTAATTCGATAGATATTTATTGTTTTAATGCATAATTTACGCAGAAATATTAAAATTTTAATCCTGTGAGGCGGGATAAACATTTTATCCAACAAAAAACTAAATAATTATTAGATTAACTCAATTACGCCGTAATAACATGATTAATTACGGCTAATCACAGTTGTTTCTTCAAATACCAATATCGATACACATGCATAATCCGCATGTTTTGCGTCATTAGCATGTTTTCAATTAATATTTTAATTTTATTAAAATAACATATTATTGTCGCAGCGGTCTAGAAAATATTCCAGCATTGACGATTATGTAAAAGTGCAATAAAACGCAAAATTATTCACATCATTAAAAATGAAATACAAAATAGCGAAATGAAAATAAAATCAAATGAAAAAAACTCTAGTGTCGCATAACTCGGTGACATTTACCTAGATTTACACAAATTACTTTATATACGATCGGCGATTTCCTCCGCTTGAACAGAAGGCGCACACACGCATTAATCAGCGATATTATTCAACGCGGTCGCTCGCAGGTAGATTTTAATTAGTGGGAGGCGTGCGCTAATCAAAACATGCTGCCACGCCGCCGCATGCATGCATTTATGCAAAGATCCAGCCGACTGATTACCTATAGCAGCGAAACACAGAATAGCCGAACGAACGAGATCGAAACAGATCGATACTCGAGCGACATGAATCATATTCGCCGGGATAAAAGTTTATTTACGATGGCAACTTGCCAACACGACGACTTTGCGCGTTGATTATTTCATACTTGTTTTAATTGCTGGGAGGTAAACTGGTCGCGGTAATATTTAATAAGTAATAACTTCCTGTTTTATGGAATTTCTGTCTGCAATACTTTACTTGCAGTTTTTTGCGTTTAATCAATGACCCGTGACTAAAACTCGTGACTAAAGTATTTTAAACACTTTTTGTGTTTAAAAATCGTGAAAAACTGATGTTTAAAAGTAGAAAAGAAAAAAATCATTTTTTTTTAATTTTTGAAAATTTTAAGTGCTGAGATATCGATCGATTCTAATCAGCACATTCACGCCATTCATGGCGCGAATTCACATTCACGCATTCAAATCCTTGCAGCCGCTTTCGGCGCAGAAAAGATTATATTAGAGAAAGTATGCTCTAATGGCACGCGTTCGCGAGGTGCATTTTCGCGAAGGCGCATTCTTTGCCGCCGACGAGTATTAGATGATTAAAGCGTTCGCTCGGCGGAGCGTTGGTCCGGTAGCTTGTGGCCATTGCCACCGCGCGCTCCTTTCTTATTTAACCAACTCGACCATGCACCCAGCGCGCTATTCATGGATCGAGTCTAATGCGCTCAAATCGATACCTCTTACTTTGCGTTATTGATTGCAGTATCATTGATTCGAGCGTTTACGCTGCGATTATTCCGCTTTTGTGTGCTGCGGCGTAATTGAATTACTTTGCAGGAAAACACCAAGAATAATTATTGTTATTTTTATGTAAGGTGTTGGAGAATTGATTTGTTTATATCTTTGGAAATTTTTTGTGATTGATTGTGGTGGGATTTTTGTTTAAAGTGGTTTTTATGTGGGGATTTTGATGAGATGAGTTGGATATTGGTGATTTTTGGGGAATAACGCAGAGATGATTAAAGTTACTAAGTCGAAATTTTTACCACTATTAAAGAAAACTTCATTTTATAGTTTTACGAAATTTCAGAATGATTTTTCAAAGGATACGAATTTTACAGTCAATTTTCTTTCGGTGATTTTAATGCGCTAAATATGATTTTGGTTAAACTTTTGTTCACCAATTAAAAAGTAAACAATTAAAAATGATTGAAATTTAGGGATTAATAAAGTATAAATATAGCATTAGTTCACCAAAAATTGGAGTTAATTCCACCTTTAGAACATCTTTTACTGTTGATTTTTGTTTGGAGACTTCAATGCGCGCAAAATAATTTTCACACAATTTATTAAAATTATTTCAATGGTTTTTGCTTGAAAGCGTCACAAATAAACAAATACATTCACATCTTCACATTTATCATATTAATCAGGATCTACTTACTAGTTAATTCAAGATTTTATCATTTTATAAACTCAGTTATACCTATTTCTGACATAAAAAGCATAACTTACATTAGCAGCATTTTAATGAAATAAAACTCAAAGTTTACGTCTTTATTATATGATATTTTATAGATAGTTGCTTTATAATTACACATCGATAAATTTCATTTGATTTGCTACGAATCGCGTCCCCGAATGACAATTTTCCGCGTGTTTGCGTCCGCGTTTATAGCCGTTTTATTCGATTTTAATATCTCGCAGTCAATCGTAAAATGGTCTTGATTTTTCCATAGAATACGAAGAAATAAACAAGTTAATTAACCAAAGCAAGACTCAAAACCTCAGAAATTAACTACTTTTAACTAATTAAGATTTAATATTAAATATTTAATAATACTATTGGAAGAAAAATTAAAAAAAGAAGGAAAAAATTGTATCACTAAGCAACACGTGTCGATCGGCCTGGAGTTAAAGTTGCAGGTGAAGTTAATCGATCGACGATTACTTTTATAGACGCAATGTTTAGCTGCGCGTGCGCGATCGCATAAAAGTGATTTATTCGAGCGCCGCGCGATTGATGGCGCTTTGATGAAACACATGTTTGATGCGAAATTAATCACTTCGACCGCACGCGCTCCAACCCAATCGATACGCGCATCGATTAATCAGCTTGATTTATTGTATTGATTTCCCCTGGAATAATTAACAATTAAACCAATGCAAATAAAAAAATAAATAAAAACATTTAATTTTTTCTAAATTTCAACTTCAACTCAGAAAAAATCGTGGGAACATAGCAAGTGGATTAAATTTATTCAAGCATGTCGCAGAGTCGACCAGTCGAAGATGTTTAACATGCCGATCCCAGAAATGTCCAACATGTTCAAATTTCACTTGGAAATTTTGATGTCGAGCGAAATTTCGCTCCCAAAAGCAGAAAAATTTAAATCTTTTTTTTAGTTGATTACATAGATATTTGAGATTCAGATTGGAAGTTTGGAATTAAATCGTGCGGCCGGTGAAATACTCGTAGATCTTTACCGGTCGGTTGCGGTCGTAAATCTAAATAAAAATAATAAAAAAACAACTTATAGGACACTCGATGGCATGAGAAACAAATCCGAAAAAGTTGTCTCGTTTTATGTCGAATTAATTGAAGCCACATCAAAATATAAATTTAATACGCGTCGATATAAAATTCGATAATAACTGAAATTTATGACTGGGAATCTTGGAGATGGAAACATCTTTATTGAAAATTGATTACGGCATTAAAAAACATTGTAATTTTATTTTATATAGCAATGATAAGATTATGATAATAGTTCGAAATAAATTTTAGAATTTTTTTGAAAAGTGTCGTTTAATTGTTTATAACTTTTTATTTATTAAAGGTATTAATAAAATTCTTTCATATTCTGATAGGAAATTTAATTGGTAATATTTTTTGTCAAAGAAATAAATTGTAGAATATTTAGTTTTCCAGTAATTAATTAAAATTAATT